GTTTTACATTAGTAGCATTAATGAAAATAAAAAGCTGTTGRTGATCACAAGCTTGAACACAAGTTGTGCAGCTCTGGAATCCCAAAACTCCACATGTCTTAACTGGGAAGGGTAGCAAAGAGTCGATAGCAAGGACTCTCTTTCTTTACTGGACAATGGCTCAGGTTTTAGTAGAGTAGCATGTCCAGCTTGCTATTACATCACAAGTCAGACACAGAGCACCTGGAAAATTGCAAGAAAATAAGATGAGAGGGAACTAAAAGTCTCTAAAAGAAAGATTGAGGGAATTACGGTTCTTAAGTGTGAAGAGACGCTGGGAGGAGGAAGTGAACACCMCTGTCTGCAGGGAATGGAGCGCATGTATTGCTGATCTGCAGGAGGATGTGGGTGACATCTTGAATCCCTTGCGACCTTACGCTTTTGATTCCATTATTTTTTTAAAAAGTTGAGCATCTCTTCTACTTCATCTAAGGAACAGACAAAACAGCTTCTTTCTAGCAGCTTTGAGTTAAAGCTAGGTTAGGTGATCCTTTGCTCTTGTCCATGTGTAGAGAGATCTAAAGTTTCAATACGTTGTTGCTGCGTGTCCTTTTTACTGGCGTCGATTTCCTTCTAGTCACGTGAGTTTCTTTGTGGATTGCATCACTGTTTACAACTCGATAACCTTGTAAGGACTTCTTGGACTCCTAAACCATTTCAGATACATTCRTGGGTAACACTTTGTTTTGTGTCTGTGCTTCAAATTCATTAAATGTTTTAACTTACACCCTTGATTTGTGTCTGTGCTTTTATGGATACCTGAGCATTGTCTTATGGAAAAAAGTGATTTTAAAAGTGATTTTTTTTTCTCTTGAATTTTGTTGTCTTTATTGAATTCTCACCTTTTTTTCTTTTTTTTTTAAGTKTTTAGTCAAAGCCCCTTAATTTTCCAGTCTGTAGTGTTGGTGGTGCTTGACTGCAAGCTTGAATAGCATGATACTCTGGGGTATTGGTTGTGTCCTCTGGGCATTTTCTCTGTTACATCTAGGCCCTCTTCAGTCCTCGATAGCTCTCATGTTGGAAGGTTTGGGCATCGGCTTTTTGCTGTTATTCTTTGCTTGGAAACACAACAAGGATATCGAAAGATATCGTGCCTGATGTGTAGTCTAGTATCACCTGTGATTTTTGTTATTTTTATGGCAACACTGCAACACTAGCTACTTTTTAATTTGTGTGTGTCCAGAGCATAATATAATAAATGAGAACTGGAGACGGGAACTGTGAGCATCTCTTAACCTGCTGCAAAACCATTGGCAAGTTAAGCATTTGAGTGAGCCGTCGTCTTACGAGAGTGGCATGCAGGGTTGAGCTGCCATTGCTATCACACGTGTTGCTGAGCCCTCAGATTTGCCAGCTCTCCTTTGGGCCCAAATGCTTAATTCTCTTGAGTCTGCAGATGCAGTACCAGAGTGTAAAGCATCRTGGGCTGTCTTGTAGCATGCGAGTAAATTCTTAGGAAAAAGAAGATTATCCACCCCAGCCTATTGCTAGAACTAGATAATCTCTCTGTTGATAGGAATGGTTATCTTATCCTCAAAGGTGAAGAGAAGTCTGTTATCTTAACTGAGAAATGAGAAAAAAACTACTGAATCATGACTGTAGACTAGACAGCATGCAAGAGAGGCTGACATGCTGCTTGAGCCCCCATGTAGGATTCTCTGCTAAACAGTTAGTAAGGACTTACTTTGTAGGGCACARATTTGCTCATGATTTAAGGACTTTGATTGCTCAGTCTAAATCCATACTAATTCTAAGCCAGTTTTGATGTCRGGTGAGTTTCCAACCCAGACCTGATTTGTAGGTGCCAAAACTAATAAAAAATCCATAGTAAGCAACATGTAAATTAAGAAACTGGTTTGCTTGTTATCCCCTAGCTTGCTTTCTCATATTCAAGGGTGCAGTTCATAGACTAAAATAATATCTGGAGCCCTAGTGAAAGAGGTAGATTTGTTCTATRTAGTGTCTTCTGTCCAGCATTTTTGCTACTTGTCAGGGCAAGTTGGGTCATTTTCTCCATTCTCTACAAAAAGACCCACTTAAATGTACCAACAGTGAGCAGTTCCTAAAAGAGATAATTGTATTTCTTTGCATGCAGAGACTGCCTCAATTTAATACTTTGATTGCCTACTTGGTATTTTTTGTAAGGCGGTACTGCCTTTCTCCTTCCTTGTAAGCATAGATGGTAGTAGTAATCTATTCTACATCTTCCTGTTACCCTTGAAATAAATATATTAATAATACTCTTGACTTACTGTGAAATTGCAATGTACTGTTTTCATGGGAGCAGGATTTTTTTCGAACACTTGCTGAATGTTGCAGCTAATGCCTGTTGTGTTATATCCCAGCTTTGCCTTGGCTGGCAGCGGGGATCTCTCCCCAGAGATCCTGGGATATAGAATCAGGTGGGCAAGCGTTTGCAGGACAAATCCAGTTCCTTCCTTCTGCCTCCCAGCTTTGCATTTTAGTTGGAAATCTTTACGTGTCTTCTTAGTGAAAAAAGCAGTAAGGCTCGCAGTGGATTCGGGGCACTGGAAAGTCAATCAGTTCTGTGGGCATTTATCACTCCTGTCTGAAGCTGTGCCGCAGGCTGCTGCACAAATGTATTTGCCATTATCTTGATACAGTCTGTGAACTGTCTGGCTTAGTCTGGTCAGTTTTGGGGCTGGCTGTAGATAAGACTCTCCATCGTGTGCTTTAGGATGTGCATTATATGCAAAAGAATGTGAAATGCCTCGGACCTCGCGCGATACGCACACAAAGCGTTATTGTTGGTATGGTCTTCTGAGACTGTTCGTGTTTCAGTCTTGTACCTAAAATCTTCTGCCTCCTGGCAATTGGATAAAAATGTGCCTTTATAGTTGAGCAGACAACCGAAAGTTTCGTCATCTCTTYGCTTCTTCTCTTTTCTTTTAATTTTTCCCTTCTCTCCCCTCCCCGCACTGGGAAAAGACTTTCAAGTTTATCCTTTGGGAGAGATTTACGCAAAGGGCAAAGTAACCCTGGTATACTGGCATATGACACGTTGCTTTGTTTTTATTTACTTTGTAAGTTTTTGAGTGGTAGCTGCTAGAATTTTTTCAGGAAAATCTATTATATATTCTCCAGACTTTAAAAAACAAACAGCATTTTCTTCTCACAGAAAGAAACGATACATTTATCTTTATCTTTTGGACTTAGTTTTGGATGTACAGAACTAATGCTAATAGAAGTGCTGTTAATTTTTTCTGTACCTAATTTTTGATTTATTGCCTTCTGAGAAGATAAAATTGAAAACCCTTAATTTGCCAGTTTACTTCCTGTTCATGACTGTGCACAGAACTTGGGGCGTGTTGTTACTGTGTGCTGCTAATAGGGTTACCTATTAGGTACAGGGCTTGTACTAGTGTAGATTTTCTAGGCGGTGTCTTCTTCCTTCACTTCTGAATATTCAGAAATAAATATACTGAAAAATACTAGRAGCAACTCAGGGATGAGACTTTAATATATAGTACAGAGTGTAACTTTTGGCACAAGGTTTCCCCATTGAAGATATTGGAATAGGATAACTGATTTTAGGAGTCCAAAAGAGTTCTTCGGTAGACTTTTCTTATGGTCCTTTTTTCTTTTTTTGTGATGATGAATATGTGGATGTTGATGAATAAGTGGAGTTATAAAATCTCTATTYTGGCATCCCACCTTCTTGTCAGCCTACTGCAATGTTTTCAGAATCTTTAAAAGTTAAGATCTTACCTGTGTTAACAGCTGTAAAGTTGTAAATATTCTGTTAGTTCTTAAGTTTGAAAGTTTAGTCTGTGGTTTCATACAAAACTTTCACTGGCTTCTTTTGCAGGTCGCCTTTTCTGACTTGTGTGCTGTTTAGTCTTTCCCATTAACTTTTTGAACAGTTGGTCTTGCCGTCTTCTGTAGAAATCACCAACACTTTSCTTTAAATGCTGTTGCAGTAGCTGAAATAATTTATATTTTAGATCACTGTCTAGATCCGTAGCTTTTGAAAAGGCAATGTGATACCTCCTACAGAGCGTCCAGCGACCTTTCTGGTGAAAGTGTTGGTGAGCTATTAGAAGAGTTAAGATTAAAAAAAAAAAAAAAAGATCTGTTGCTATGTATTCTCAGGTTCTGAATAGTAAGTTTTCTGTTTGTTTTGGATAATTTCTGTTTCAATTGCTGTAGGTTAAATACAAAGATCAAGGTGCATGGTAGGTCTACAGACCAAAGAGCTCCTTGCTTTCTTGAGCAAATTGATCTTGGATACAGTGCAGGGTTCTCAGATCTAYATATCCCAAATCGTGATCTTTCCTCACTTTCTTATCTTGGGGATAACTTTGCAAGGATGCTTCTAATATGGTTTTGGTTTATTTTTGATATCCTATTTTTTTGCACAGCGCTTTACAGACAGGAAGGTTGCTTTAGGTTGGTTTCTGGCTGTGCTCTGTGTAAGGAGAAATAMAGACCATSTAGTSACAATTCAATAGAAYTTCTCACTTCTGTAATGGGAATGASTGGATGTGGAAGATTAATCAATATGMTGCTTTTTATCGTTTTTATAAATAGATGGTAAATGCTTTCCAAAGTTAAGGACAGTGCCTTCTCAGGAACTTTAAGCTTTTTTATAAGATTTGTTTAATTCCATTGGCTAACTCCATGTGATTTAAAAATATATATATTCTTTCCTTACCTTTCTCAAGAGTTCATGTTTTGAGATACCCAGTGGATCGTTTAACATGAATGTGTGTTAAGTAGCATGGTCGTATCAGATTTAGACTCTCTAATGTTTAGAGATTACTTTTATCAGGATAAATTGGGTAATGTTTAGTAAGAACTGATTCAAGAGTTTTACTGGAATACAGCAAATGAAGTTTTGGTGCTTGCATGAAGTGAAAGCTGYATTCTAAGTAAAATGGAGTTTGTCTTCAAGGTGTTAGTGATTGCTCTGAACTCATACAAATCGTTTTGCTTTCTAGATTTTGGATCCCTTTTTGATCTGGAACACGAYTTACCAGATGAACTCATCAGCTCCACGGAACTGGGACTCACCAACGGTGGTGACATTAATCAGCTGCAGACCAGCCTCGGCATGGCACAAGATGCTGCATCTAAACACAAGCAGCTGTCTGAACTTTTACGGGCTGGCAGTTCCCCAAATCTCAATATGGGGGTTGGCGGCCCTGGCCAGGGCATGGCCAGTCAAACCCAACAAAACAGCCCTGGAATGGGAATGTTAAACAGCATGGTGAAAAGCCCCATGGCACAGGCTGGCTTGACTTCTCCCAACATGGCAATGGGTGCAAGTGGACCAAACCAGGGTCCTTCAGCCCAATCCACAGCAGGAATGATGCCAACAGTAAACAGTCCAGTTAATCAGCCTGGCATGGGAATGAACACAGGGATGAATGCTGGCATGAATCCTGGGATGTTGGCAGCAGGCAACGGACAGGGAATAATGCAGGGGCAAGTCATGAACGGTTCAATTGGAGCAGGCAGAGGGCGACCTAATATGCCCTACCCAAATCCAGGAATGAGCAATGCTGGTAACTTGTTGGCTGAGACACTGCAACAAGGCTCRCCCCAGATGGGAGGACAGCCTGGACTGAGAGGGCCACAGCCTGGAGCCATGAACAAGGTAAGACAGCCTGGACTTTATAACCTTCCTGCTAGATGTCAGTCTCTTTGCAAGAGGTATTCTTCTGTGCTACCGACGGTATAGAGTGCTTTTTATGTTCTTTAAAGTCTCTGGATCACATGGGAAATAGTTTATATATCGCTTAAGTGGTATTCATAGCAGCCATGTGAGGCAAAAATTGGGTCTTGTGCAGGTGTGGTTTTTGCAGGGTAGCAGGGCCTATTTTTTAAATCTTGTGGTGGTAAACTTTATGAACAGCACTGAAGACTAACAATTGAGTTCTGTTTGGTTTATGTTTTTCCATGGTTTTTGTTGGGGCATTTTCCAGTCTGATGTGATGCTGGTGTTACGAGTGTGATGGGAGTTTCGGCTAGCACTGCTGCTGTTAGTTTTGTCATTTTATGTGTGATTTYTTTTGTTTGTCCATTTGTTTGTTTGTTTGGGGGTGGGTCATGTCTTTTCAGAAACACCAGGAAGTCTCTTTTGCCTTTGAGACGTTGTAGTGCTCTTCTGCGTGAAACTTGACAAGAATATATGTCACTTGAGACCTGTTRAATATTAGTTTATGCTGTAGGAAATGAGGCCTATATGTGCTTGTTTGGACTATATGTGATAATGCTGCATATGATTCATAYATTTATATACACACGCTTGTTAACAAATGCATTGTTTGAGTTATTGATGAAGTAGGTGTCCCTGCTTGAGCAAGGGGTTGGACTAGATGTTCTCTAGAGGTGCCTTCCAACCACTACCATTCTGTGGTTCTGTGAAGTAACAGTGCTTGTATAAACACCTAAAGACAAATGCTGAATGGTTCTTAATTGGTTTTAGTTTTAAAATTTAGAAGGTTTTTGTCTGTAGGAGGATAAATCAGCTGAGGAAAACTCTTMCATGTTGGTGGGGGAGGTAGATAAGATTTTACAGTTTAGGAAATCCAAAGAAAGTTGTTACCAGTCAATTAAAAAAAAGACAAGAGGTGGCCTAGTGCTTTAAATCATGAGATGTTTAAGCTGTTTCTTGTTGTGCACAAATATCTTTACAAGAGTAGGGARCTGATCATGTGTTTCTTCTCAAGATCCTAGTGTTTTGATCAGCAGTCTAGACAATACCTAAACATCTTAATTTGCTTTAGGTGGGTATTTGTATTTCTTATTTGGAGATCCAYATTCGACTCCTCAAAATGAATCCACTTGGAGGGTTTGACATTACAACTGGCCTAGCCCATAAATCTATCTGAAAAGGAATTGAAAAACATGTTGTAGATTAATAGTTTTGTTGTTTTATTAGTTAAGCTGTTTTTAATTTCTTATGAATTGCTGTGGATTTTAAGCTTCATGATTTAGCTGTTTGCATGAACTCAAMTAAAATATGGTTCCAAAAGAGACCAATAATGCACTTATTCTGTAGCGTATTTGCCTCAGATATTTTTGTCTGATAAGTGTTATATTTCTTGCAAAGTTGGATTGCTGCAGTAGAAAATGCATTTGTGTACAGTTTAAAGGGAAAAGAAATATGTCACTGCTTGGAAGTAGCACTGGAGCTATCTGAAATGTTGCTATTCTTCGTCTGTAAATTTCTTTTTTCTTTGATCTTCAGAGAACTGTGCTCAGAGGTCAAAAAATGACCTATTTGGTGAAATTACTATCTTAGTCCTTACTTATGAGAGGTAAAGTAAGGTTCTGAGCTATAACACCTAGTTTACCTAGGAGAAACAAAATCTATGGCCGCAAAAGCAAGCTGTCCACTGACACAATCTAAAACTAATTTATCTTCCCAGTAGTGCTAATTTCTGAACTATGTTGTACATGTGAACTAAGCAGCATTTTATGCTTTGGGACCAAGTCCATGATGAAGTTGCCTTCTTTTTTTTTTTTTTTTTTTTTTTTTCCTTTTTCTTTTTCTGTTTTCCAGAATGGTAGAAAATACTTCCAGCAGAATTGTAAATTTGGGAGGTTTTTTTTTTTTTTTTAGAAAAAAAAAGGCACTTTAGTGTATGTTTGGTGGATGCAGCCTTCCTAAAGCAGTTTAAACTGCCTGACGGAAAGGCACAGTCTGAAATGGAGGCTGAATTCCTGAATGTCTTCAATTGGTTTGGTTGTTGGCAGGGAGCCTGCGTCTCGCTTCGTGCCGCGCAGTTAGCAGAATCTGACAACAGTAATGTCTGCCTGGTTTTATCTCTGCACCAATCTGCTTGGGCTGCTCCCACCTACGAATCTTCAAAAAGTAGATGAAAACAGAGGACCCCAGAGCAGTTGTTTTTAAACCTCCTTTTTTTTTTTTTTAATTGGTGAATTTAATGGTGTGTTACCGCTAGTGTGGGAGTCTGTGTAATAACTTCTGTAGATTGCCTTCCTCGCCGTGCAAATGTGTGTTATCCGGGAGCTCTCCTCTGGGAGGAGGAAAACCAGAAGACCGGGCGCGCTTGACTTTTATCGCGATGGTGGCTTGCCAAGGTCAGTCCCTTTAGGTGACGACAGTCGCCTCTGCAAAGTGTCTTTCAGTAAGGCTGAGGCGTCTCGTCCGACGTGATTTTTACAGAGGAAGTAGCCTGTGCTTCCTGCAGCGTTAACCGTGCAGGAGAAGGAGGTTGCTGTATTTTACTATAGTAAAGATGAACACCAGGTGACTGGAGTTGAGGGAGCGAAGTTGTTTTTTTCTACTTTTGTTTGTTTTGTTTGTTTTTTTCTCCCCTGTTGTCTTTTGGAGTTAGTGGAGCCCGTTCTTACTCGTCTCCCAAGTGACTGGCTAGACTAGAGTGAAGGGGTTGCTTTTCCCAGGGAAGCACTGAGTTCCTAACYTCTCTAGTTGTGAGCATTCCTCTTCTAGGTCTTAAAATTCCGAATCATAACATAGGTGATGGGCCTGCCACTCTCAGCTACGCCTTGCCTTGTACTGCCATAGCCTTCCGCTTGCGTCCTGTCGTGTAATGGCCAAGTTTTACGTATAACACAAGCAATTGCTGACATACAAGCGATTCTGTCTGGACACCATCTCCTTCCATATGCAGATCCATGACAAACTGTTTTGAAGAACTAATCCAGGCTGGAAACTGACCTGGTCATTTAAAAATATCTATAGTTAAAATTTGAATCGTTTCCCAACTCGATTCATGCTCTTCAACAGGAGAGAGTCTGGTACTTAAGAAGGGGACGTGTTAGGGAAGCACACATTGCCAGTCAGAGGAGAGTGTGAGCCCTGCTTGGGCCATAGTACTGGCTTAAAATACCTCTGATAATTTAGCCTAAGAGGAACGATTATAAATTTGGAGGGGAAAGGACTAACAGGTTTTGGTTTTTGAGTATGATTTTTGTTTTCAGTGTGCTTGATTGCTGGCAAGTTACAAGGAGGATGGGCTTACCTGTAAGTCTTAAAATGGAGTTTTCAGTGCTCTGGGTTATAATCCTTTGATTCTTTCACTGTTAAAGATTTTTTTTCAAGCATTTTTATTTATCTAGAATAACCATGCTTCATCCAGGAGTACATGGATAGTGAAGTCAAGCTTCATGACTGAAGTACAAATTCATGTTCCCCATTTTGAGTTGTTCTTCATTTGGAAATATATGTAGCTAAAACCTCGCTCTGACTCTGCTTGTTGCACTAGGTCTTGTGAGGATTTCCTTGTCTCGTCTAGCCTTTTACTAGAAGAGGGTAGTTTGCATGTGAGTTTGTGCATCTGGAGTGGTCAGGCTCTTGTCCTAGGTGATCTGAAGGTCGGGTGGATTTGTTCTCTCTACCTTGCTTGTCCTACAAATTCAGTAAATGTGCCCTTGTTAGAAGGGACGTAAAGGCAGTTCGGATTTGTAAGGGAGCGACTAGCTTCCTTAAGAAAAATAGACCTTAATGTTTTGCTGTAACAAACATGATTCCTTAGAAACTCCGTAACTTTCTTGTATACTCTGAATTTCTTATTATTTAATTCTGCTGTTCAGAAATGCAGAGAGATTGAAGGGATGCTGCCAGTTTGTGGATTAGTTACTGATGGAAAGAGAAGCTTATGTTTCTCCGTGTTACCATATTCAGGGTTGTGTTCGCTGTCCCTTTTTAGGCTGAAAGGCTGCCTTCTTGGCTTGCTTTATTTTTGTAGCCATTTGATTCCGCAGGTAAATATATACATGCTGTTTAGACTTAGAGGCCGAGGGTATTTTATATGATCGAGTGCCAATCCATTAGAAGTAATTGCATGTTCTGGTCCTTTGCTTTTTCCTCTTTGGTGAAGTGAGGTGCAAAGTGGGTAATTGCGCATGTTATCCCGCTGTGGCGGAGGAATGCAGTTGTTCGGAAGGGAGGAACGGAGCAGTACGGACTTGCCCTTGGTAGCTGTAGATCTGGGGGGTGCGTAGGGGCATTTCGTGCCCAAACAGTAGTGAAATGGGGCTAGCCTTTGCAAAAGGTATCTGAGAACCTAAGGTGGTAAATAATAAGCAGTAACAGCCCTTGGAAAGAGTGCAAGAGAAACTGGCAAAATTTTGTTGCCAGGCTCTATCTGGGTCCAGTCAGTCAGTGATATACGATACAGTAGTTAGGAAGTGTGTGTTGGTTGTATGTTTTTTAATAGCAACCTGGAGTTTGATCAACTTCCCTGTTTCRTTGCTTTTGAACATGTTGCCTTGAAAGATACTTGATAAATCAGGCTGGTCTTCAACTAACATGTGCCCTACAGTTTCCCTGACAGGGATACACAGTGCTTGTTGCACTGGCTTATTTGCAAGAATGTAACCAAACTCAGTTCAGTTTATTTCCTTCTTTATACTTCCGAACATCTTTGTACGACACCTAGCAGAGTATTGCTGGACTATTGCTCATGTCCGGTTGTGTCTTTCAGATGTCTTCATTGAAGCAGTTGTTTTTACAGAGGTTACAGATTTTATTCTGTTGCCATGTGCTTGGTGTAAGCAGGTGTTCTTCCTCAAATAGGGTTTGTATTAACAATATAACTAGAAGTACTATTGCGTGGCTCTGAAGAAGGTCGAGTAACTAAGAAGTATTCATTTTGTGGCATCAGAACAAAACTTTAGGGAATTTCCTCCATTTCCAAAGTTGTTCTTGCGAGATAGGCGTGTTGTTCAGAAGCTTCCCCCTATCTGAGGCTGTTCTTGCTGGTGAACTGGCTTGGTTTTTTTTGGACTTCTCCTGTCATCCACATCATATATTGATATGTTGAGAGAGATGTATGGCTGCCTCCGTTCCAGTAGTGGCAGCCACTGCTTCAGCTGGAGGGAAGAAAGTGAGCTGAGGTGTTTTGTACTGTATTTGGAAGGATTAACCATTTGGAATTGCCCTCTATTAGCCATCATCCTCTCTTGCTTTCCTCCTTTTCTTTGTCTGCTTTCTATTCTTTTATCCCCTCAGACYGCTCTTCCCTTATTATGTTGTGCATTTTTGTGCTCCTCTGTGTGTGTTAAGTCCTTACTTACGTGTTGAGAGTTGAGGCTGAAGAGAGGGAGGGAAACAATGGGTGAACAGAGAAGAGCAACAAGGAGAGCAGCGGAGGGATGTAGGCCAGGCAGGAGGGCAGAGGTAGCTCGGAGCCAGGGAGGGGGTGATTCAGCCCCGTGTGTCTGTGTACGGTGTTGCTGATACCTCGCGCTTGTCTTGTGCTATGGAACCAGCGCGGCCTTATTCTGGCTGCTGTTCACTTGGCTTCATCYCTCCCTTCCCCACCTCCCTCCAAATGGATCATTGGTTGCATGGTAGGGAACTGGGTGGCAAAGTCTTCGTAGTTGTTTACAACTGATGAACTTAAGGTTTCCAGGAGAACTTTTCTTTTCTTTTTCCAGTAGCTCTAGTCATTCACTCATCCATTTCTTCTGGTTGATACTTCCATGTTGCTTTTGTTGGTGTTTCCCAATAACGCCAGAGCAATTGATGTTAACATGCTCCTGTGTCTTGTGCCACAATCACTAATGAAAAGCTTTGGCCCCATGACGTTGCTGTGAGGAGACCTCTCAGTGACCTTTCTGGTGTTTCAGCCCAGAGTTAGGTCTGCATCGCAGATGTCAGGTTAGCGGGTCTGTGATGGCTGGACCAGGAAGGTGTTGCTGCCAGGCTCAGCTGTGGACCTGAAGGACTCGGTTTCACTTGCACAGAGCTGCGGCTGCAGACTTATTCCAGGAGACCTGAAGGAATTTGCTCAGGTGATGCCTGAGTACATGGTCCTCAGGGGCAGTCTGAAATGCTTGCCCTGTAGCCTGGTCCGTGGCATTTGCCTCTCCTGTGGCCTGAGCCTGGGATTTGGGAGTTACCCTTGTCAGGAGCCTGCTGGACTGAGCTGTGCTCATTGTCTTCTGCCTCTGTGTTCCCAAGTACAGTGGAGTGGAGGGGACACCCATTGGCAGGGTGGGCTGAAGCTCCCAGCCTGAGAGAGAGCAGGGCACTGCCTTACTGTGTGGAGGGATTTTTCTTTGAGGAGCTTCTTGCACCCCAGTCAGTGCAAAGGSTGAGCTTCATTGCCACGTTTCATCAGAAAGCTTCAGTTTCTGGTTGCATAGTGAAGGTGCTTTTGCAAGTCTAGGTTTCTCTTTCCCCTGCAGTTATGACAGAGCTGACTCATCAGGCCATGGTGGCTCCATGTCATTTGGCACAATGTCTGGAGTCTCCAGTGGCCTCACCTCTGTTTTGCTGTTCTTCCTGTGACACCTGGCTGTGAAAATGTGGGCTGTTCAGACCCCAGTTACAGTCGGTAAGGCTTTTTTGGAGACTGAGAGCATAAATCACAGAAGTCACCTGGATACATACAGCATTAGCAGTGTCCAGCTTAGTCTGCGCTTAAAGCCTGTACCCAGTGCACTCCTCTCCCAGATGACAGCCAACTATTATTAAATTAATGAACTTTAAAACTGCTTATAAATATCTATTCCTTAAGTACTTACCTGATTTCATCCTTTCTGGAACCAAAGAGCTGAGACAGTCCTACAGGAAAACAATTTATTGCGTTTTCTGAAGGAAATGATTCTGACTGTCGGTCTTCCACTAGTGCACAAACCTGTTGGACAGCTTGAGGCAGCGGTGACCACGGGAAGTGTCCTTGAAGATAGCACTGTGTTTGCTGCCTCTTTATTTCCTCCTCCCTGGCGCTCTCTCCTCCCCTTTCCTGCTCAGCACAGGAAAGACCTTATTAGGTCTCTTCCTGAGGGAGAGGTGGGAAGGCCTTGACTCCTATCTGTTTCCTTTTGGGCTCCAGCTACCTCCTCGGTCTCAGCGCACGTTTTCATCCCAGCTGAGATATGGCAGGAGTGAGGAAGAGAAGGAATGAAACTTTGGGTTTGGCTTGCTYGTTACTCAGCACAGAGATCCTTCATTGGCTCTCTAATAAATTGCGCTGTGCTAAGAGATTATGGGTACGGTTTCTTTGGAGGGGGAGTCTCTTTGTACACCTCAGGTATCTAAATGGCAGGTTCTTCAGAGAGACTTGTGTCCTGTCTGCAGTAACATGTGCTTGACTGTCTGGGTTGTGTAAATGCAAAGTGAAGGCTGGAACAGTGGATTGGCACTCCTGGAGGAGAAGAGGTTTTGGCTAATGGCAGGCAATACCTGGGGAGCTGGGTCGCTTTTCTCTGAGTTGGAGAAGTTTGGTGAGTAGCAGAAACAAGGTGTTTCTACGAGGGAGAGTTTGAGAACAAATATAGGCTTGATGGGAAATCAGCCTATCGCAGGAGCTCGCATGCACTTTGGAGGCAGGAAAATAATGAATTTTCTGTGAAAAATAGATGGGAAAGCAAAGAGTGGAGAAAAAAAATGTCCCCGTTTTTGACAAGGTTGACCCTAACTGTGTTGCGGAGTCTGAAGTGCTCCAAGGCAACAGGCTGCATGTTCTGGTGTGTTAAAATTCTTGAATATGCAGTAGCTGCTGCATACTTCAGAAGGGGATATATAGCTCTTGTAGGAAATAAGAAGCTCCTTTCTCTATGGGTGAAAGGTTTGGGACTTTTGTTTGCAGAGCTCCCTGCCACCAGCCCCTTGGACCTCTACTACTCGTCAGGTGCCAACAAGCACAATGTGCAATTGAGTGTGGTGTTACCTGTGCCTGTGATGTACTCTTAAATTGGAATCTGTGTTGTATACTGAAAATGTGGACTTGCATTGTTATGGCTGTCTGGAGAGGAGCTGTGGGAGTGCTGACAGTTGGGTGGGAGGCATTTAGGATAAACCCTGCTGATATGAATGAAGGAGGTATTTGTCTTCATTTAAAGTCTGCACAGATGCAGAGAGCAGAAAAAAAATGCTCCAGACTTTAGAGCTGTATAGTCCATGATACAGATTTGTTCTGGGGAAAGGTGAAATGAGGATCTGTTGAACATGAAATGTTGTGAAAGAAAAGCATCAGASCAGTTCTAAGAAAGACATCCTCAAAGGTTGCTACATTGGCCTCGCTCTGTTTAGATGGAGGAGTTGGTGCAGAGATACACAAATGAGGGAGCAAAGGAAGCATTTGGATCAATGCTGTGTGACTCCTCGTTCATAGCTGTGTTTGGTCTTACTTCTCTTAAGTTTTCAGTTGCCCTATTATGATTTAATTTCATTTGCATTTTGTTGATCTGTGTTATCTTACTTGGCCTTCTTACCCTCTTAATTCCTAGATGGGAATGATGAGCAATCCCAGTCCTTACGGCCAGCCGTATAGTCAGAATACTGGGCAGCAGATGGGAGCCAGTGGACTCGGGCCTCAGATGCAGAATAAAGCTGGGCTGCAGAACAGCTTACCMCAGTTCCCAATGGAGAAGAAGCCAGTTCCTGGGGCAGGAATACCTAATATGGTGAGTACAGTGAAAGGTGTCTCCAACAAATGTTGTAGCACACCAAAATGGAGCAATATGCAGTGCTCCAGTTTTGCCATGGTGCAATTTTGCAGCTGTCGTATCCCRTGAGTGTGAAGGGCCTACTCTGAATCCTTGCATAAGGCACTTGCTGCAAATCCTAAAAGTTTTTTTCTTTCTTTTTCTGGAGGAAAAAGTTGTGCTTTCTTTATTGATAAGCTACAGTCTTCAATCTTTACCTTTCAAACCCTGCTATCAGTGAAAAATAAGTTGGTTTTTTTTTTCTATCTGTTTGGACACCTCTGGTCACCCCCATCCTTTGGGACCCTGTAACCCATCCTGTGGTTAGTCTTGTGGGTCCCTTCCTCTCCATGTAGTTCTGTGTTAAGAGTTGTTTTCTTGGGGTTTCCTGCAGCTACAGTCTTAGCTTTTTCTCTTATCTCCTTGGAAGTCAATGTCTTGATCTTAGTAATTATTGATGAATGAAAAGCATTCCAGGCAGCTTTTTATACCATTGAATTAAAGCTCAGTCCCATGGAATATGAAACACCTGGTAGTCTAGTACAATTCAACAATCATACTGACTAAGAAACAGCAGCAGCTTTTTGTTCTGGATCCCAACTGTCCAGCTTGTGTTCAGAGCAGAGTTTATAACTATTGGAAGGGAAAATTGCCACGCAGGAGGACCTAGGAATAGAAAGGTTGCTGCTATCTCAGCTGATGTTTAGAATGACAGACTGCAAAACAAGGCAAGTAGGTTCACACCCAAGCATCCAAGTCCCTGAAGGGATTAAGTAACTCRGAGATTTTTGCAAAACGAGAGGTTCATACTAGTTTTGAAGAGCTACAGGAGAACTGGGTTTAAGAGTGCAAGTAATTGAGCTCTGAAAAACTGTGGAGGCTTTTGAGAGCTCTAGAAATGAGTGCTAAAACCCTCTGGAAGTGAAGAGTCTATTAGGAACTGAAGACTATGAAACTGAAATGAAACGAATAACATAGCTTGCAAGCCTCTCTTCTTTCCCAAAGTGCTTCTCCACTTCCAGATATCACCTGGAAGTAATACAAAGTCTGGAGAAATACACAGAAGTTTTGAAGAAGTGCTGGGCATTGCCATACTTGGTAATCAGTTCTTAACCRTAAATTATTCTGAAGTTGTGCTTAATTGAGAAATTGTTAGATGTTTTATTTCCTTAMTTAAGGAGTTGTGGATGTAGTTCTTTCTAGATTACAAATAAAACCTCTTAGAGATTTGAGGTCTGAGTCCTTTTAATAATGCTCTAGCTCCTAACCCGGGAGCATATACAAAATTGAGTAAGTTTTTGTTGATCAAGCAAGAACTAGAAATAGGAGGGAGGGACATGTAGGTAGGTAGGTAGCTGGCAATAGGGTTCTTGGCAGCACTGAAGTAAATAGGTATTTAATATGGGCTCCTCAGAAATGCTGATGGGTACAGTGTGTCCTTAATCACACATRTAATAGCTGTCTGTCTTCACTTATTCTTGTACTCTTTGGTTACTTGTTAAATGCACCGCTCTTAAACAGACTTATTTCTGGGTGTCTCCTTCCTGCCTTCTGCAGGGCCAGCAGCAGGCGCCCCAAGTTCAGCAAGCTGGGATGGGGCCAGCAGCTTCCCAAGGAATGGGGTCCGGAGCGCCGACAGCCGATCCGGAGAAACGCAAGCTCATTCAGCAGCAGCTAGTGCTGCTCTTGCACGCTCACAAGTGTCAGCGGCGAGAACAGGCCAACGGAGAGGTGCGACAGTGCAACCTCCCGCACTGCCGAACCATGAAGAATGTCCTGAACCACATGACACATTGTCAGGCTGGCAAATCTTGCCAGGGTAAGTGGAGGACAAGTGGCTCTACACATGTGCTCTCCACTTGCAGGGCCAGGAGGCTAGCAAGAGATAGTGGAGAAATGTTATTAAAGGGTATGGGGAGCTAGGGGTGGCTTGGGAAGTGGCAAGTAGTTTTTTTTTGTTTGTTTGTTTGTTTGTTTTTTTGTATCCTTTCTGCCCCCTTAGGAATAGAAATCATAAACTACTTCTGAGATTTTAAAATATAAGCAATAAGAGAGGCAATAATAAAATATAAGCAATAGAGAGGCAAGGTTTCACAAAGATGAGTGAGGACCTTGTGCTTAATTGTGAAACTCACCTTTTATTTGTTACCTTCTGATAAGTGCAAACAGAAAGTAAAAATCTCTAAGTAGGAATCTGCCCTTTTCCCATAAAGGGAAGGGACAAATCTCAAGCAAAAGCTATCCAGGAATTTATCTGCTACTGGCACCGGTGAATGTTTAGTCTGTTCCTGTCGACAAGGAAGGTCTGGGGCCTGCCTCTGTGGTAGCCTAGGCTTTTCCGGGTGGTGACAACTGCTGATACTGTCGGCTCATTCCTGATATATGGGCTATACCCATGGAGCTAGGAAGATGTAGTCTTAGATGCTTAACATAGAACTGCCAAGAAAGGTTTAATGGATCCAGCATGAGCACTTGCAGCGGTCTGTCTGCATTTGCAGGGCTGGTTAGTGCCGAAGTGCTTCATATAACACTTTGTTGAACTGTTGTTGATTCAGAGGTGTTCCCTGAGAGACATAGCTGCTCCTATTGAGATTTTTGTTGACCATGCAGAGATGTAGTTGCTAAAGGCTTTTCATCCCTTCCCTTTCTCAGTGGCACATTGCGCGTCTTCCCGACAAATCATCTCGCACTGGAAGAACTGTACGAGACACGATTGTCCTGTATGTCTGCCGCTCAAAAACGCCGGGGACAAAAGAAACCAACAATGTGAGTCTTCTGGGGAGTTCTGTGTGTTTGATAAAGCAGAAAATGCATGTTTTATGTTAATTTGCTTGACCCAGTTGAGAATAAGGGTTGCTATTGCAACCTGGGAACAAGTGATATTTTTTTATTTTACTTTGGAGTTGCAGAGCCTATTTCTCCCTCTGTTCAGTTTTTCTAAAGGCTTTCTAACTTCAAGCTTTTCCGGACAGGAGATTGGGAAAGGTGAAGAAAAAGTGACATTTGTCTATTTTGTCTATTATCCCTTTCATTTGCCCTTCTCTATCACCTCTTCCAGCTGACAAGGTTCTGGAGAAAGAGGCACATATGTGCCATTCCAGCCCTAATGATCTTAACCCATGCTCTTCTGTCTTCATTCTCTATGTTTACATCAGATGACCCTTTTTTCCTCCTGCTCTTGGCCCCTTGGTCTTCATTCCAAAATCTTTTGTGAGATCGATCTTGCTGTACTGCCTGTTATGCGCTTACTCCTTTCTTCATGCTACTTTGTGCTACTCTTGTGACTTGCCTCAGCTGGAGTATTTCRCTGCGGGAGTGATGGGATAGACCTCGGAAGGGTTGTGCCTTCAGCCTCTGTGACATGATCGGCCTCTGCTTTCAGTTTTGAGCAAACAGAGTTGATCTAAATACTGAAGTGGGATTTGCTTTCAGCAGCTCAAGGGGAACACAGCACATTGGTGCAAAACTTGCCGTCCACTTGTTTCATGACAGCTTTTCCTGACCTCTAACGTGTGCTACTAGGAGAAAATATTTGGGCTCTAATCAGATGGTAGTCCTGCCTTCTTTGCCTGTCCTCTTGCGCTTCTTTGGCTGCCTCCTGCTGTCTTGCTGAACTTGGTATCTCTCTTGCAGCGCTGCTGGGCGGAGCTGCGGTGGGCCTTGCAAACACAGGCTCCGTGGGCGTGGGGCAGCAGACAACGCCCAGCATAAACACTACCAGTCAGATAGACCCCAGCTCCATCGAGAGAGCCTACGCAGCCCTCGGACTGACCTACCAAGGGAACCAGATGCAGACCCAGTCGCAGGCTCAAGTGAAGAATCAGCAGCAAGGACAGTCTCCCCAAGGTCTGCGCCCTATGAATCCCATGAGTAAGTTGATCTGCTGGTGGCAAARTATAAGCTACGGGCAATCTGTGCTGTGTCTAATGCAAACTTTCTTAACCTGCTAGCTGAATACAGCTCACAAAAGCTGTGACTTTCCAATATTTTAGTCTTGAGATGACTAGCTACTCAGTGGAACGGGGAACATTAGAACACCCAAATGTTTTCCCTTGAAAATCAACAAGCTTTTTTGTGGAAAGCATTTTCRTTGAAAAAAAAAAGCAGATTTTTCCACAACACTTGTTTTGATGTTTTGTGGCTTTTTATGCAAGTTTCAGGCTTTTTAGAAGCTTGAAAATGACAGGACACCTGCATTTAAGTTTGCTTCCTCATCACTCAGACTGCAGCATTTTACAGTTGTATCTCAGTTGTGTAATGCTTGTTTTCAAAAATGTAAAGTGGAGAATACCAGCTCTTWCTCTGAATCCTGTCATGTGGACTAATATAAGTATAATTTGTCTGTGTGACTTATTGTAAAACCATGAAAGTCTGTGGAAAAATATTAATGGGAAGCGCACTTGATTTTGCCCTAGCTGTCACTTCTGGTGTCAAATGTTAAGTAATCTTCAACCATCAAATCTAATTGTGATAGTTTGTGCTTACATCACAGGAGTTCTCATCCCCAGCTCCTAACCTGAGTTGCTCAATCAGAGGCAGCTTTTAAACTGAGAAGAGGAAAATGAGCAGCTAGAGATTTACCACAGCCTTGTTACTGGGTTGTGGTGGTGCCTTATGCCCAGTGACAAGCCTGTGTGCAGAGTGAGCAGTGTGTATGAGCAGCGGTGCTAAGGGAGGACTTGAGCGGTCACTGAGGAAAGCAGCAGTTGGTTGCAGGTTGTGCTGCTCTGCACCAAGCTGCATCCTCCTGAGCTGCTCAGGAGTAAGGCTGCTGGCTGGAGGTTTCCTCAGGAGCAAGGGGCTAAGGAGGGGGTAAAAACAGAAGAGTTGGAGTCATCAGCTCATGGATTGCATGACAACAGGGCTAGACGAGAAGCAGAATTTGGTGAAAACTGAACATGTGTCATCCTACATAGGTGGAACAAATGGGCAAGTTGAAAAGGGAGAGCTAAGGTAAAGGCTGTCTTGCAAGACCAATTTGCTCTCACATGGTGAGGTGACTTCGAAAGCGAGAAAAAAGGTGGTTAAATGAAGGAGGGTACAGGCAGCTTTATGAACAGACTTAAGCTTTCAACTGTGATTTCAGAGGTGTATATTAGGCTTGCTAAACTTGGTTTCAATGGATTTCTCTTGTATGCAGTGCCTAATTTTGCTGGAAATAAAGGATTCAAATGTCCTAGCATTCAGATGTCCTAAGTACATRTAAAGGTTGGGAATGGCTTTCATGCTGCTCTGCTTTTTTCACCAAGTGATGTATTTGGTAGTTCAGATGCAGAAGTATGCTGCAGTTTTCTTTGCAGACTGAATTTTACTGTAGTGTGAGAGCCAGAACAGGCATTTTCTGTCACTGAGTTCTGCTGTAATTCAGAATAGAGGATTCTGGAACATWACAAATTACTGCAGTGTCTTTCAACAATTGCAGTTTTCTCCTTTTTTAATACAAACATGGAAGTTAGACGTTCCTTAAGACTGAAGGTAGTAAGAGGGGATCTTGTCAAATGTGGGTGATGTCTGAAAGGTGATAGCTGCTGTTTTGAAAGCTGTGAAGACTTCCTGAGCATGTCTCCTAAGCCTCTGAATCGCAGAAGAAAGTTTTAAGCTAAAGGCAGAAGGGGTTTATAACACTGAATCTTTAGAGAGCCACAGAAAAGATTCTTACATGTAGTACTGGCAGCAAATGGAAGTTGCTTGTGTGTGTTCAGAGGTTCAGGAAGATGCTCAGAAGAGCAGTATGCTGTGATGATTCACTTGGAGATCACCGGGGCTGTGCCTTGTCACCTTCTAAGTTGGTAAAAGAAAGAGAGCAAAGACAGTAAAARTACTTACTTTCCCTCTACAGAAGCAAAGTGCTAGAAGGTCTAGACCTTTGTTATTTCTGAACAATTACTATTTTTCACATGTTACTTTGCTTCTTTTTAAAACCTCCTTTTGTTTTCTAGGTGCAAATCCAATGGGAGTGAATGGAGGAGTAGGGGTTCAAACCCCTAATCTGCTACCTGACTCGATGCTACATTCAACCATGAATTCACAAAAGTAAGTTAATGTATTTTTTGCATCCAAGTGATCTTACTGAGATGCAGATGGTGATCATTGCCCTCAATGAATGATCATGACAGAGAGGAAGAGGATGTATGTAAAAATACTCGTTTTCTTGTCTTGGGAGGGATTTAATTGATGTTTGCTGTTGAGAGCAGTGGGAAGAGAAGCCTTAAAGTTGGACTGTCCTTGTCCTTATCCATTCCACAKGTTTCCATGTCCATTTTATTTTGTTTCTCCATGTCTGCAAAACTGACTTCCTTAGATTATGAATGTTACAAACACTATTTGGATTAGTATCTGTGCAGATCCTCCCCTTATTTGCTGATCATGTGTCTTGCCACAATCCTGTGGGACTGAGGGGCAGGTTATCCAGGGACRTAAAAGAGCAGTCCCCTGGCTGAGCAGGATCGCTTTCTACATGAAGAGAGGAATAAATTTGATTCCAGTCACTCCCTTCAGATTTTGAGGGTGTTTTTTTGCTCGTTTTCCAAAGGACAGCAGTACTTTTTTTTTCACAGACCTCTCTCATTCTAAAATGGATAGGTCTTTGTGCAGCTATTCCTGCAGAGTTCATCTGTTCATTGATTAGGGACTGGCTGAGATGGTGCTTTTGCCTAACATTATCCTAAAAGAGGCAGGAAGATGTAATTGTGAGATGAGTGACCTTGGGCTGGACCTTCAAACATCAATTTCTTATTCTTTTTGAAGCGCCATGATGAGTGAAAGTGCCAGTGTTGCCAGTTTGGGGGCCATGCCAACAGCTCAACCATCCAATACTGGAATCCGAAAGCAGTGGCATGAAGACATTACTCAGGATCTCCGAAATCATCTTGTTCATAAATTGTGAGTAGCTAAAACCAACACCTCCTGTTGGATGCACCTCCTGAGCTCGTGTGTCACACGAGGAAGCCCCCCTACCAAAACCACAKGCRAGTTGGGAAAGCACAAGTGGGAATRTTACGCAGAATGGTGCCTCCAGGGAAGGGGAGCAGTCCCTTGCTGTGCCACAGACTTGCTCCCTGCTTCCTTTCTGAATCGCTTGTGCTGGAGCCCATGTCCTTGGTTTGGAGCCATCCTAACCCCTTGCCTGCTTTGTCCTCAGAGTGCAAGCCATATTTCCTACTCCGGACCCTGCAGCGCTGAAGGATCGGCGTATGGAGAACCTGGTGGCGTACGCTCGGAAAGTGGAAGGAGATATGTATGAGTCTGCAAATAGCAGGGTGAGAAGCCATCTCCTGTCCCACGGCAGAGCTTCCGCGTTGCTTCCCTTGAAGAGTGTGGGGGGGTGGTTGTGGGAGGAGGGCAAAAATGCAGATTGAGGAGTTAGTGKGGGAATGGTGATGTAGTTGGGGAGGAGGAGAGAAAAGTCCAGATGCGAGTCCCAGGCTGGGGAAGAGCAGGTTCAGGGGCGTTGTGAAAGGGGCTGCTGGTTTGGGCCGGGCAGGCAGCTGCAGCCTCGTGCCCGGGCATGCCGGGAGTGAGGGCGGTGTCGGTGCGGGTGCGCTGTGCCCCAGGCTTCTCAGGGTGTCCTTGGAGGCAGCATGCAGCTTTTCGTGGTGGTCGCCTCTGAGGAGTCCTGGGCACAAGAAGCAGAACTTCCAGAGAGGCCCTAATGGTTGTTGCAGAGGGATTTGTTCCCTAATTTGTTCCCTTTTTCACCTGCCAGTCTCCCCAGCAGCCCCAGACATGGAAGAGCCAGCCCCAAAACTGTATGTGGAAAGGGGCTTTCCAGCCCCGACTTTGATCAGTGCTGATGGCCTTTTGCTTATTTTGTCTCATCTGCTGTCCTCCTTTGTGTTCCTGCCCAACAGGCAGAATACTATCACTTGCTAGCTGAGAAGATCTATAAGATTCAGAAAGAATTAGAAGAAAAACGACGGACCAGGCTGCAGAAGCAAAACATGATACCAAACGCGCCAGGCATGCCGCAGGCTCCCATGAATCAAGGGCCCAGCATGGGACAGCCCCAGCCAGGGATGTCTGCAAGTAAGAACAGTTGGGTTACTTACTGCTTGGTGCAGGGCAGTCCTGTGCTGTCATTTTGATAGTCTGGTGACTGTTTCCCTCTTATTTCACTGGTACTTGGGTTGCTCAGAGTTAAGCAGCATTTATTTTTTAACTTTTTTGTTTATAAGTAATTGCAAAACTTGCCTTGCTCATCTCTTAGCTAGTGACCATGTAAGATGGTAAAGAGTTCAGTCTTTAGAGCCAATTGAAGTGTCATAGACCTCTATGCTTGCTTTGGAGGAAGCCTGAATGGATGTTAAGTTTCGTCCTTAACACTGTAGAACTTCAGCCTTTTTAGTTTTACTTCTAGGATTCATTCCATTAAAGGTAAGTGTATTTTATACAAACGAAGTACACTTTTGTAGTGCTTGGTTGTGCTCTTATCATGGGTCTTAAGGTTGTTGCTAAGCAAAGAGTGCCATGAGTGGAGTGTTCAGGTGTTCATGCCTCTCAGAGTTCAGATAGTGGTTGCTGTATGCTGCATTGGTGGTTTTTTTGGACAAATGACCTCTACAGCATGCAATAAATATATATATGTGTGTGTGTGTGTGTGTGTGTGTTTACATAGATATATATGCACATTATATATACATATATCTATAGGGGTATATATATTCTTTTTTTTTCTATGCAACTCCCTTCTCTTTCACAGTAGTTCTGTTCTTTGAATTCACCCTCTTCTTTTGATGGAGAGATCCTAATGATTAAAACTAATACTGCTCTAGATTGTAGTCTCTCTTCTTGGGCACCTTTCGCGCATTAGGAAGTGATGAGGCACTGTAGGATGCCTCAGGTATCTAGTATATTTTATCTTGGCAACACATAGAACAGAACATTAATGATTGCAAGTGATATTTCCAATTTAAAAAAAAAGCGAACATCCTTTGATATTGTAATCTTATTTTTCCAGTTGATTAAGTCTTTTTTAAATAATTGAATTTCGGGGTTTTCATCTATACATTTCTCTAAGTAAAATGGCCTCCTGAGCTCTGTAATTTAACAGCAAGAGCATTAATACATTTTTTTCCTCCTACTACTTGAGCCAAAATTGGCTTTGGGCTGAATTTTGTGTCTCAGACTGGATTGAGAACTCTGGAGACTGAAACAGTTTCTTTCTTAAAAATAAGTGCAAGAGCTCTGTGAATGTTTTTCTAGAGCAGTGCCTTTTCCTTCCCTCTCCCCMATGTGACTAACTGTTCAGAGAGCCTCCCTCTCAGAAGGAAAGGATTTTTCTTCTTGGTTTATTCTGTCCTAGATGTTCTTGGATTATTTACAGTCAAGAATTGAGTCCAGAACCATTCACTAACTCCAGAATTATATTTCAAGAAGCTTAATATTAATTGTTTTATTTCTTCTCTTTAAATATAAATGTGTCCTGGTAAATCCAGTATGTAAAGAAAGAAAAAAAGCTTTTAAGATGGATGCTGTCAATTTGTTTGCTGTAAACTCCATAGAAAGTTGGTCTTCAGTAGTAAATGTGACACTTCGGTTCTCCATCATGTTTTCCAGCAGTTCTCAAACTTTGCATCCTTGCTAAATCCCATACAGTTTTTCGTAGTGTTTTTCAGAGTGTGGCAGATGTAGGGTGCTCTGTAGTCATTTTTTGGTGGTTTGGAATGTTTGTGAAATGCTGAGTTTGTTGTTGTACCTTCAGATCAACTAGGAAGTATGGTATCAACTTCTGAAAACCATCTCAGGGGATTTTTTTTGTCAATAAGGCATGCTCATGCTCTTGAGAAATTTTGGGTTTCAGAGATTCTTAYATTTTAAGTGTTTAAAGTTACTGCATTTTACTAACATAAAAGATACTATGCTAAAAATAAAATTTTGGTGGATATAAAAATAAAAAATAAAGTCTTGGTGGATAAAAACTGGTGGTCTTCTAAATGCCATAATTATTTCCAATGTCCTTTTTCTAGATGGCCCTCTTCCTGACCCAACCCTGATACGTGCCAACGTGCCAAACCAGATGATGAATCGCATGCAGACACAGCCAGGTAATTGTCTGGAAATATATATGCTCTTCTGTGAAAGAATTAGACAATTCTTGCTGAAATGTTGTAGACTTAGCTTCACCTGCTGTTCTCCTGTTCGATTAAGCAAATATTTTATCTATATTGTATAATATACGTATAAGTCTATGTGTTTTATTAGCATTACTTGCTCTTCTTGGGAATTTAAGAGCTTTTTGTTAGGAAACTTGCTTTGTTAGATGAAGAGGTTGATGCATTTGAAAATGCTAATGGTGTGACTGTAGAAAGTTGGAGTCAGTCAAGTGAATGTGACCCAGTCATCTTAGAGGAGGGGAACCTCTGTGGCAATTGAAGGATGGTGAGACTTATTGCTTAGAGGAAAGGGGAAGAACCTTTGCATATTCAAGACAAGTTTTGGTCAATGTACAAGTTGGTTTACAGAAGTATATGAAGATTTATATGTATATGAARTATATGAAGGCTGGAATACATTAAATAAACTTCTAAGGCATAGTTAAAATAATACAGGCCATCTAACCTTGCAGACAGAAACAAGTTTTTCAGGAAGAAGACTAACCATGTGTTTTAAAGGAGCATTGCAACTTCATCGCTTTAAAATTGTTCCCTGTAACTGATAAAAGATATTTCTATTAGAATGTTGCACACTCAAAAATAGATTGATAGAAAATGAAATTGGGAGGGAACTGACAGCAGTTCTTCTCGAAACATTGAGTGGTACCCAAAGGAGAACTGGGGCCTTTGTTTATAAGTCTTTTCTTGGCATAACCGTGCAGGAATGAATCAGTTTGGCCAGATGAATATGCAGCTGTCGTCGATGGGACCCCGGCAAACCCCTCCTCTTCAGCACCCTGGACAGCTAAGCCAGCCAGGGGCCATGAACCAGGTCAGTGTGCAGTGCCTCCGGCCAGCGCCGCCTCACACGTCTGCTCCACAAGCTGTGACTGCCTTGCCRGGGGAAGCAWGGGAAAAAGAAAGAAAGGAAAGGGGGAAGAAAAGCCCTTTCTTCAATCTGTGACCATTTTGGCTAATCCATTTGCATTGCCAGTGGAGGTTTGTCTGGTCTGTGGTCAGCCTTTTGAACTTGCTGGTGGAGAGTGATTGCTTTTAACACTGGGACATTTTATGCTGGCACTTCTTTAAAGCAAGAAGCAAAGATAAACCTTGACCCATAGTTGCAGTCTTCCTAAGTTGGCTAATCAGAATCATAATTTCTCTCTTTTGAGAGTAAATTTAATTAGCTTTCCATATTGTATCATACTAAACAGTGCCAGGCATCAGTTTCTGCATCAGGAGAACTACTTTTTGTAAAAACTTCTGGAGGTCTGTATACGGTGGGTAATGAGTTCCCTTTTTCTCTTTTTCCTCTTCAAYAGATGGGATTTCCTTCACGTATGCAGCAGCCAGGAGTTGGCCAACCTTCCAGTCAGAATCAGTTTCTACAACAAAACCAGTTCCCTGCTTCTTCCCCAGGAATGAACGCAGCAAGCATGCCTATGACCCAGCCTGGCAATCAAACACCAGTTTCTCAAGTAGGTTTTTTATTTATAGGTAGTGGTATCACTAGGCTCTGTCATACACAGGTTTCGTTGTTCAGTTTGTATTGACGGAGAACTTGTTTTCTCAAGATGCTGATAGAATTGTAGTCATTGGAGTTAATTTACTGAGCTACATTTTACAGGAGGTAACTTTGGGAATGACAAGGGTGGAAACATTATTGACTTGTTTTCAGGCTTCATTTTCTTTAGTGTGACACAGGACATTTGTTTTAGAGAAAAGTATTTGTTACTCAGCATAAGCACTTCAGCATTTCTTATTGAACAATGAAGCTGCATAGTGGTAGAATTTTAAAAGGTGATGGCAAAATAAGTTATGAAAAAGACATATCTGGTTAGCACCATCAAATGTCTGCTGCTGGCTTATTATTTGGGAGGGTGAAGGCTATCCTCAATAGTGAGGATCTGGGCTTAGCTTCTGTCAGTTTTCTTTCTGTCCTTTCCATCTCACTTTTCAACCAGAAATTTCCAAGCCAGGAAGAAGTAGGAAGCTTCTTGTTGATGCTACCTCTTAGCTTGCAGGCGAAGTGACAGTTGCAAAGTGACAGTTTTCTTCATGATCATTCCCAAATTTTCTCTCATCTCGTAATAGTACAATTGCAGCTCTATTTTTGAAGAGGATAAATTTGGTTTCTAGTGTTGGGGTTAGGAGCAGTGAAACGGTCCATTTCTAAGTCCATTTGGCTGCTTCATTTCACTGTGGCTTTTCCCTGTATTCATGACGTAAAAATTACCATTTCAGAAAGGTGGGGTTTTTTTGTTTGTTTGTTTTTTTTTTTTTTTTCAAATTGCAAATATAGATGTAGCAGATGGAGGGTGTTAGTTATTGTATTGAAATTTCTTTAGATTTGGATAAAGCTGTAAAACAGCTTTATGCTCATGTGGAACAAACCTAAATTGAATAGCCCATTTCTCCTTTTGAAACGGAGTTTGAAAAAGTTTGTGTTGCCCTTTCTAGAAGTTTGCCGGTAATTGCAGAAAAGCAGCCATTTAGCAGTAGCTTCTCTCCTTTCTTCTTTCACATCATTGCCAATGCCTACTTGTTTTCCCACAGGCACAAATGACCAGCTCTTCCTGTCCCGTGAACTCTCCTGCAATGGCTCCAGGTTCTCAAGGGAGCCACATTCACTGCCCGCCTCTCCCGCAGCCTCCCATGCACAGGAATTCCCCTTCCCCRGTGCCGAGTCGGACCCCAACGCCTCACCACACGCCCCCCAGCTTGGGGTCACAGCAGCAGCAGCAGCAGGCGGCGGCAGCTGCCGCGGCAGCTGCCCCCACAGCCCCCACCGCTGCTCCACAGGCCTTGCCCCAGGGCCCGCAGTCTCAAACTATGCACCCCCCTCCAAGGCAGACGCCCACCCCTCCACAGGCCCCGCTGCCCCCCCAGGTGCAGCCTCCGGTCCCGGTCACCCCTTCTGCCGAGCAGCAGCAGCAGCAGCAGCCCCTGTCACAGCAGAGCACGACTGCGTCCGTGCCCACGCCAACAGCACCGCTGCAGCCTCAGCACCCCACAACGCCTGTAAGAGGATGTTTTACTTGTGCTTGCCTTGCAAATCACTAAATGGGAGGTTTAATTTCCGGGAAGACTCTTTGTTTTTGTGTGAGGCTGATGGTAATAGCTCCTAGGATGTTTAATATCAAAATAGCTTCTGTTATATTTGGGAGGGAGCCTTTTTGTCTGTGGATAATTTTGTAGGTTATCTGCTATTTCCCTGCGGGAATTACTTTGCAGGATTCTGATGCATGTTTTGAAATTCACTCTGAAACATGGACGAGGTCCGTAGTAATTCAGTTCTGCTTGCATATGCATAGAAGTGATGCACAGTAGAGAATATGTAGCTGCCTGTATACGAGGCCTTTCAGTGCATGTTCTCCCTGTGGCTAGAGATGGGAAGCAGTGCTTTCTTCAGGTGAAGCAGTGGGAGCCCTGGAGCACACTAGAACTAGGGAGAACTTTGGAATAGATAATGGAGATAAGACTGGAGAAACGTAGTAGGTTCATTAAAAACCTGTTTGTAATGAGTGTGGGCTTTTTTTCTTTTTCTCAGCTTTCACAGCCAGCCGTAAGCATTGATGGGCAGGTGTCCAACCCGCCATCCACCAGCAGCACTGAGGTGAACTCGCAGCAGACTGCTCTGGAGCAGCAGCAGCCGCCTTTGCAGGAAGTGAAAATGGAAATTAAAGCAGAAGAAGGGGAACCAGAACAGACAGAGTTGCAGATGGAGGAGAAATCAGAGGTGAGATTGTTGATTGTGAGATGCTACCTGCTGCTGCTGCTGCTGTTCAGTTCCTATCCTCTACCTCTTCCCAAAGGAGGTCTCTGCCTTGTGGTGAAATTGTGGGTTGTAGTCAGGATACTGTACTGTGCTCCTGGGTTGGCCACAGTAAGGACTGTGATAATGTGACTGCGGTTGTGAGGCTCTTTGATAGGCGTTTGCTAATATAAGAGGGTGCTCAGGTTAGTCCTTTGCATGCTCCTGACAGCTGTTTGGTTATCATGGGTGATTATGTGAGTGGCTGCTCCACTGGGCCCTGACCAGTGTGTCATTAGTGACAGCCAGAACGTGGCTGCCCTGTGATGCTGGCAACCCCAGCACAGGAGACATGGTCAGATCGGGCTGAAGAGCTGGGTGGGTGCTGAAGTGTCTACAGGCAGCCCCTCACTGCGGCTACTGCCCCGTCTAGCTGGTGTGTTTCAAGATAAAGTTTTAGCACATGTGTTCAAGCTGTAGATGCAGTTTTGGTTGCAGAGTAGATCTCCTTAGTCCTAAGGAAGCGTGGTAGGCAGGAAAGCAGATAGATGTAAAGGACAGAAGTGCAAGTGGGTGACTCTAAAGGAGACTGAGAGACAAGCTCTAATTCGCTTTCCAGGGTAAAGTGGAACCGGCGGTGGAGGAATGTAAACCAGATCCAATGGAACAAGAAGAGAAGAAGCCAGAAGTGAAGACTGAAATGCCAGAGGGAGAAGAGAGACCTGCTACTCCAGCTACTCAGTCCTCTCCAGCAGCTGGGCAGTCTAAGAAAAAAAGTAAGCAGGAACACTGTTCTGACTGCAATTCATTGTATCTCCATAGGTGAAACTTAGGAGAAAATAGAGCTTGCTTCAGTGTTGCTCAGTAGGCTTACTAGGGTGGGTCTTTGTGGTTCTTAGACAAAATTGTTGTCTAATACATACGCTTTTACTTGGCTCTACATGGTAAAGTTCTTTAAGGCTGTAATATTAGACATTAAGCATTAGTAAAACTGTCAATAAAATAGAGATTAGGGGATACTTTTCAGCTAATTTTCTAGACAAGTTCATTCTCTTGGCATCAGAAGGGATGCATTCAAAATGTTAATTGACTTCATTAAATTTACTGTTATCTTTCTGTGGTGAAACAAGATACTTTTCAATCACTTGATAGTCTCCTTGTGTCCAGATGATCTTTTTAATATCCTCAACAAAGCCAGTGCTGCAGAATGTAAGCAAGCCAGGCTAAGCATCATAAAGCCATTGTATCAGTAGTCTCCTTTTCCTAAAAATGACATTTTGAAGAGGTTTTCTCCTTACAGTTGTTTCTGCTGCTTTGCTTATGTTGTTGTTTTCTTCAAAAGTTTTTAAGCCAGAAGAGTTGCGGCAGGCGCTTATGCCAACACTGGAGGCACTTTATCGTCAGGATCCGGAGTCTCTTCCATTTCGACAGCCTGTGGATCCCCAACTACTAGGAATTCCTGTGAGTGTCTTTAAATATTCTCCTGGCTTCAACCCAGAACYGCTGTCTTACTGACATATCTATTTAAAGAGAACTTAAGTCCATCTTGCTCTTATTTTTATATTGATGCATTTGAAGGGATTAGCTTAGGCAATGGCACATAAAATATCTGAGTCAGAAGTTTAGTTTTTTGAGGTCRTTTGGTTCTGGGCTCCTTTTGAAAAATGAGCAGGCTTTTACCRTACGACAAAGTGATTGCCAACAGATCTTCATGTGCTGTGTGGGATTTTTATGGATGTTGCTTCATGTTGTGATGCTTCTCTTGCTGAATTCCGTAGGTGTTTCTTGTCATATATGAAACTTCATTGAACTAACTTAACTGGGAAATTGGATCATTAAAAAAAAAWTCCATCAAATGATTAAGCTGTTAGCAAAGAGGAGTTAGCTTGTAGTTTTTATTTCTGAGTTTTTCTTCAGAAAACTTCTTCAGAAGAAGTTGCTTAATTTCAAGGATCTGTGTATTCAACCGTCTGGGTTGAGTATACAAGGATCCTGTGTATGCATCCTATATATGCATGAAAGTCCTACCTAGAATTTGCAGCAGAACAATTGTTGTTTGCAGCAACAATTTCTGCCTGTTTTTTTTTTTTTTTTTTTAGGGTAGAAACTGCAAGAATCTGAGGTCTGCTGTATTGTTCTAAGCAGACATTTGTGTTTTGCACTTAAGCAAATTCACCACTGGCTGTCAGATTTGGAGGGCTTGCTTTAGAGCAAGAGAGGTTCTGAGGAGGATCAAGGGGGCTGAAAAGAGGCATTCTTTAGGTAAAAGGTTTGTAGAAGACRTATCTTCTATGAATTTAATAAAGTACATTGTTTAAGCAGATCTGCTTAAGAGTCTCTCTAATATACTTGCATATAGCCTCCGAACAGCTAGGCCCTGCTATTTCCTCCTTTTTGCAAAATTTTTATAATTAGTGTTAGAGCAACTTTATTTTCTCAGCAGTAGAAGAGCAATAGAGCTTGAAAAATAAAAGAATAATGGARAGGAAGCATTGGGAAGGGATATGATATTGCTTAGAGATTTCATTGCTTGTCACAAGGAGTTTGACAGTCAAGTCTGGGAAGAACCTGTTTTTCTTGATGTATTGCAGAATTTGTATACTGGGAATGCATACGCTACCGTGTCACAACATAGTCCTTTAAAAGTGCCTTGATGTGCTGCTTGTTCTTGCAGGATTATTTTGACATAGTGAAGAACCCCATGGACCTTTCTACTATCAAGAGGAAGTTAGACACAGGCCAGTATCAGGAACCGTGGCAGTAYGTAGATGACATCTGGCTCATGTTCAATAATGCCTGGCTCTACAACCGCAAAACGTCCAGGGTGTATAAGTACTGTTCCAAACTGGCAGAGGTGTTTGAGCAAGAGATTGACCCAGTTATGCAGAGCCTTGGTTATTGCTGTGGAAGAAAGGTAAGGAGAAAATATTTTTAGTCTGCTGCTTGCTTCCTGATAGGGAGGGAGGGGGGTTAGAAATATTGCAGTTACAGTTAGTAACATTTGTGTCAAATTCTAAAGGTGTAAATAGGATTTAGGAAACACGAGTAGCCTGTTTTCATGTGTTTTTGTTTGTTTTTATCTTCTATCTGCTGCTTAAAATATCCATTTGCAAGTGCTGGAATAAAACTTCAGTATCTTGAAGCCTTGCTTGGTTGTTCATTAGGGTCAACCGGGTTTCTGCTAGAAATGAAATAGATAAATTTGTTAATTGCAGAAAAAGTGTTTTCAGTTTCTTTTGTATGTTGAGACTCTCTGTATTTCCGTTGTCTAATTTTTGATACGCTTTTCTTCTTCGGAGAAGAGCTAACTTGGAAATAACAGCTCATTGAAGGCTGCTTTTTCTGACTCCAGCGCTTCAGGCTGTGCTCTGTGTTGTGAGATGTGTGCTCAGAATGGGAGGCTGATGATTGCGGTCTGGGTCACACGTGCTTGCTTCAGAGGGCGAGTAAAGACGTGCGGGTACTAAGATGATCCCTTCCTCTCTGCAGCTGGAGTTCTCGCCGCAGACTTTGTGTTGCTATGGCAAACAGCTATGCACAATCCCTCGAGATGCCACTTACTACAGCTACCAGAACAGGTAAGGAAAACTCGCTTGGGGCAGCTCTGTGCGTGCTGCCTTCAGTCTGCTACAGGCATGCTTGTATGCACATACCCGCTCTCTTTGTGTTCACACCTTTATGTCACAAGACAAAAACTTGCTGGAAGTGCCCTCAAATAGCTTCCCTTGTGTGCTAATAAGTTCTTTTGACAAAAGCTCGCTGCAGTCTTTGCTCTTCCTCCTGTGTTTGCAAAAATATGGGTTTTTTTTTCTAGATTTTTTTTATCCTGCAGTTGGATAACTCTTCATTTATCTGGGTATCATATATCCAGCAGCACGCTGTCTTTGCTGCCTACTGTACAGCTGTATTTTTCATGCAGAGCAGTTCTGACTAAACTATACAGCGTGTATATTAAGTTCATAATATATATTATACTCGGCAACTGGATTATACTACTTTTCTGATGTTTAAAGAACAAGCCATTTTTTGTTTGGTGCAAATCTTCATTGATGGCTTGTACATTCAGATCTTGCAATTCTTTATTTTTCTCCTTAAGTTCCCTTACRGGAGTTGTCTTACAGTGGCTACCAGCAACTGTGTGAAGTGCTGTCACTTCTCCAGCTTTTTTGACTAAGCTTTTTGACCTATGGCTTATTAAAGGATTTAAGCATATTTAAGCATATTAGAGAAGGCACCTTTTTCCTGTTGAGAGTGGGAGCTAAGGAGAGGGGAGAGAAGCAAGGAAATACCTACCTGAGCACTCCCGATTTCTCTGGTTTGTCACTGAAATGAACCTGCTAAAGCAGAGAGCTGGTTACCTCCAGGCTACGTCACCTCCCATCAATTTAGCTCCTATTTTCTGTTTTATACAGCATCTTTCAAAAAGAAACTGGGGAAAACAGAAAAAAAAAAACAGCTTTTACGTGAAGTCTGAAAGGTTTTTGCAAAACTGGCAGTTTGTTAAGCACCTGGTCAGGTGAAAGCCCTCAAGAACTATGGGAGTTGTATCTTAACTTAGGCTTCATGGGAGTTTATAGTAGTGAGTGGAAGCATTCAGGAGTGAAATAGTAGAAAATTAGTTTGTCATATTCCAATAAAAAGTACCAGAGCTTTCAACTCGCGTAATTTAGAACACTTCATCATGAATCAGTATTTTCCACACATTTATCCATTGGTCAGCACCGGATGGATCAAAAGAATGTAATTCTAAAGCTTGAGAGGCTTGCATATTTTCAAACATGTGCTTCTAGCATTTGTAAAAATAGCACATGCATGCACGTGATCTGTGTATCATATTATGTACACATAGTGTATCTATAGGTAGATTTATAAAATCACTGAAGTACTGCTGTTCTGGTATGTTATCTTAGATGAAGACTAGGAGAGAGCTTAACTGACCTGCCTTCCTAGCTTAGCAGTTACTTACTGTCAGCTCCTGTTGCTCTATAGTGACCTCTTGCAAGTTGTTTCAATTTCTTTTTATCACTTAGATGCATGATAATGTGCTGTACTAATGGAGAGGTTACAGTTTCAAAGCACTTCTGAGAGATATGGTAGAAACTGGAGCGAATCACTATTTCATTCAAGTGTGATTGGCATCTTTCTCTGCCGTGTTTGCTGCCCTGGTACCTGCACTGTTCTGTGCTCAGGAACTGGGCCATGACAGTTGTATCAGTGTGGAGCACTGTGTRAGCAGATAATGTTAGGCACTTACCTAAATTACAGATAAACAGCTTGAAATTAAAAGATAAAAGTTTTTGAGGGCAGATTTTGGTTGTCCTTTAAGCTTCTGAGGTTTAGCTTTTCCTTTCAGTTGGGGGAGAACTCTGTGGCCTTTCAGCATTTGTACATTTAAGATGGAAGACTATCCCTCTTTCCCTCCTGCATGTTCTCCTGCCCACAAAACTGCTACACTGATATGCAAGTCAGAGTAGTAGTTCTTCCTTCTGCTCTTTCCTCTTTCTCATTTTAATTCTTTGCTGTACATGGCATGGATTATTAAAATGAAGAGGGTATGGGTATGCTGAAATGAAATACTCYTTGCTTTAATTTGCTATAATCATTTGCTGATTTTGAAGCCATTCGAGAGATTTAATGCTAATCTGTGCTTTGCCTTGGCTTTCTGCTTTGTGTTGTCTTGTCCTGCTTCTATGTTTTGTTTTTTTGTTCTGCAACCCCCCATTTCTTTGTTTGTTTGTGTCTTATTTTTTATTTCTCCTTCTTGCTTGTCGTTGTCTGCACTTGGCTTTGATTTGCAAAACAATCAATCAATCAAAAAAAAAAAAAAAACCTAAAAACAATCCAAACCAAACCAACCAAACACAATGTGGGGCCCATAAACCTGCATCATTGAATGTCCCTGTCGCCGTTGATGACCTGGCTCTCTGCTCCTCTCCCTTCCTGGGCCTGCTGTGGCCGGTGGCTCCGGTGCTTGGCTTGGGCTGTGTTGTGTGGACGGAGCAGTTCACCCAAATATGGCCTTCTCGCTGACAGGTATCATTTCTGTGAGAAGTGCTTCAACGAAATCCAAGGAGAGAGCGTTTCTCTGGGGGATGACCCATCACAACCTCAAACGTGAGTAGTTTTTGCTCGGTGGTGTGTGTGTACAGTCTGTAGCAGGGGGTCAAGTGTCTTCTTAAAGCGGAGAAGGCGGTCGGTTTGAGGTAGCCCCCTCAGTTCCTAGGCCATATAGACAATATATTTCTTTAAAAGCCTGCAGTCTATCTGAAATGTTTTTTTTTTTTTTCTTTAAAATCTGGATTGACTGTAGTACAGGGAAATAAATAAGATTATAAATAAGTTACAGTATTAAGGACCATAATGCTATCATTGTTTTACCTCCTGAAAAAACATGTAAGGATTTTATTGAGGGGGAAAAAATATAACCATGCCTGCAGGCAAATAGGTGACAGGTACCTTCTGACATAAATCAAACTTGATCTTCCGTTTATAGACTGGACATGCTATTAAACTTGTATTCGATTCCAAATCATGATTTTCATGTAAATTGGAAGCAGATGATCTCCTTTTGCGATTCACATACTTTCCTGTTGGAATGGCACCAGAGCTGTGCGTGGGATTATAGCTGCCTTTTGCAGCAAGTGGTAACAGCGAATTGTGTGGATATTGTTTTATTCCACTGTCCTATGCTCACAATTCCTTGAAAAATCTAGAAACAGATTTTCAATGATTAAGGAAGTCTGTCCCCTTGAGGGACAGACAARTACCAAGCAGTTACCGCGGACATTTTAAGTTGTTAAAGCTTTTCTGGAGAAGGATGTTGCCAGAACACTTTCAATAAAAGCAAGTAAGGRCCTTGGGAAAGCCTGAAGCCAGGGAAAGAGTTGTCAAAGTTCAATAATTGGATAGATTGAATTAATTTTCACAGAAAGTAGAAGCTATCTTTAGCAGCACACAGCCAAGTCTTGGTCATGCTAAGGGATGTGTCTATTTAGAGCAGCTGTGAAAAAAATCCATTGGGGCTTAGGCAGATACAGGAGCACATTTATCCTTAAGGAGGAAAGGAAGAAATGACATTTGTATGCTGGCCAGGGTTTTGGGCAATGTCCCTGTGGGTAGTATGAATGGCAAGAACYAGGATTTATTAACATGTTTTACATGAGAGATCTGAGATATGAAGTGAGAGGAACACGATATAGAAATCTCAAAATATAATCACTTAATATATTTTTTTCTAATCATTCATACAGTGTGATCTGTCTTACATAAATTGGTACAGTTTGTGACAAAGCCTTGAGTCAGAAGGCGTAGAGTAGTTTTTAATTTATGCACTATATTTGGCAATACAGGTACTAGACACAATTTTTTCTTATGTATACACATAATAAYATGAGTGAATTGGTTACAACAACTAAAAATAGGAGTAAATTGGTTAGAACAACTAAAAGCTTTTTGAACTCCAGTAGTGGTAGAGTACTTGCAGCTCTTCGTTTCCATAGCTGGTTTAAACACTTGCTTGTTACATGAAGATGGAGACTGTAGGCTACACATGAAGAGCCAAGTATATTTTTGAATGTGTTCCCCTCACCCACCTGTAGCCTTTGTCACAGGAACTCATTTTGTGGGAGTAGACTTCCCACTCCTTTATTCCATTTCTACAAGATACAGTTAAAGTAAAAAAAGCTCTCATATATTTAAGGTACTGTTTATTAATATGGTAAAACTGCAATTTGAAGTAATTGGGAGACAGAACCCACTTGATTTATGGTATAACAAGCTTGAAGATTTCTGCAGCTGCCTGTATTTGGGATAAATACTGAAATAAAAGGGTTGGAAGGTTAATGCACCCCAGTTCAGTGGGACTGAGTATCCTTCATGGCTTTGGGAAGAAGCATGCACTGATAACTCAGATTCAACAGTTCCCTCTTAAAAGGAGATTCTCAAAAGATCTCAGTGTTGCTTGGTAGTTGTTCTGGACTGCGCTCTGCCAGACTGGTGTAAAAGTTAGCTGGAATTAACAATTAAACACACAGAGTTGCTGGCTCTGTCTGGGATGAAGGGAAAGTCAGGCTCAAGTAAAAGATAATGGCTGGACTAGGCTTACAAATTTGGAAGCTGAAATTTCCTTTTGAATTTAATCTCGCAGGAAAGCTAGAGGAATCTGAAGTAAGATGACCTGGATAACCTGCCTTTCTGTATAGCTGAAGATGTTTGGCCTTCTGTGCATTCAGAATGCTGGGTGGGCGTATCAAACAGTTAATTTGATTGTGAAAGACTAATCAGACTGGTCCAAAGCATGAACATCAATAAGCTACCCGTTTATCTTATGGTAAAATTGAATAGGTGAGAAGTGAGAAGTTACTGTCCCTTAGAAAAGCATCTTTGCCATGAACAGCATCAATGGTACCATATACTTCAGTTATCTTCCACTTTGTGAACTGCAGCTCCTTTATAGTACTAGTGAGTGTTTAAGAATCCTAATTGCAGCCCTTCACTTGGAGTGTGGTGATGAATGTGGTGTGGTATGGCATGAACACATGTCATTTTGTGTTAAAACTGAGTTTTATCACCTGTTTCTCCATAGCACAATAAACAAAGAACAGTTTTCGAAAAGGAAGAATGATACACTGGACCCTGAACTGTAAGTAGTGCTGTCACATTTTGAATGCTCCTCAGTTCATCATACCTATTTTGAAAGGACATACTGTTCATTCATCACCACCTTCATTTTTCAAAGTAGTCCCAATTTAGTGTAGCTGTGTTTGCTGACTGTAAACAGCATGCCTGGCATTCTGTCCTGAAATCTCCAATTACTGTATCGGCTTTTGAGAAAAATAGAGATCTGAATGTATGGGTTTGAATTAGTACATTTGGTTGCCTTGATGTAGGTTCAACAAAAGAATCAATTTGTGTAACTCAGGAGTTTGAAATCTTGTTGTGGCAAGTGCATCGAGGCTTAGAAATGTCTGTGTCATTTGGCAGTATCTTTCTTGATACTGTTGCCTTTTCTGGTTGTCACATTTTACAGGCAGCTGTACTAGAAGGAAAAGATGTTAAATTTGAATCAACTGATTCTTCTGCACTGCTCTGTAAGAACTATAGACATTCAGTAAAGTTTATATTTTGGTGACTTGCTATTTTTTGCTCTGTATTCCTGAGATTTTATGAAGCCACCTCGGGCACTGCATTATTTACCTGTGCTGCCACTCCTAAAATATTCTCTTTGTTCCCAATGAATGAGCAAAAAAGATGTGTAATCTTTCCACACTGTCTTTCTAAGGGTCACCAGTTTTTTCTTCCATTTTACAAGGGCCATGAGAGGGAGAGAGTAGTAACTTGATTCATAACTTGTCTTTGTTTTGGTTATGGTGAAGATATAACCTAACAGTAAGGAACAAAGCAAACTTAGTGTGATGCCATGTGCCCTATATAAGTGACGGTCCTGAGTTTCAACCTCTTATAAGTAGAGGTTCCAATGAATCACTGTCCTTTTACTTGAAGTAACCGTAGGTGTTCCAGTAAATTATATTAACTAACATCTCTGAGAGAGACAATATAATTTAGTTGCCTTTAAATCTTTGCTGGCCTTCTGAATTCGACTTTGTTACAATTTTTTCTCCCACCCTTTTCTGCAATATGTCCTAGGCTTTAAATGTGAAGGGACAACTAGAGCCAACCTGTTTCTTCTGATTCTTCACTTGTGCCAACTGTGAATCAATTTTTATTATTGTTATAGTTGCAAGCAGTTCTCAGATTTGATGATTACAAGAACTTCTTCATAAATACATACTCTTTTTTTTTTTTTAAACATCTATGTATGTATGTACATTTCTGTATAAAGTGAAGTAGATGGGAGTAAGGCGGGCAAATAGTAATGAGATGTCCCTGCAGTCTACCTGGCTTCATCTGGTCCTTAAATCATCTGCAGGCTCTTCTCAGTGTGGATTGCCTTTATGTTAAATAGGCCCAGGAGCTTGAGTGCTRGAGCACCTGTATTGAAATGGTACAAAATATGCTATGAAATAATGTTGCTACTAACCTCGCTTCCTTACCTTTTCCCTGCCTACAGATTTGTTGAATGTATAGAATGTGGAAGAAAAATGCACCAGATCTGTGTTCTTCATAATGAGATAATCTGGCCTTCTGGGTAAGGATTTTTTCCTTTTTAACTGTATAGTATATGATAGATTGAGGAATGTTTTTGTCAAAACTTCATTATCTTGATTACATTCATGCCTAAAAAAATAAATTCAAAGGGAAAAGTTACATTGAGACTTGAAAGTTCTGCAGAACATATATTTGGTAGACTTTAATGTAAATATCATATCTCACTGTATCATATGTGAAATCCTTTTTGTTTTTGTATATTTGCAACATTTCTATAATTGGAAGAGAGCCTTTCGAGCTTTTTTGTATTTAAAAATGTTAATCCTGTGTAAAGAGGAATTCTGCTTTTAGTTTCTGTAACAGTTTTGTGCTGATCTCTGTATTGTTCCGATTTTGTCCTCTTCAAATAAAAGTTTTGCAACCACTAAAGAACCAAACAGATGAATTTTCTTTTCTTACCTCTGTGATCAGATTAGATCTGAAAAACAAGATCTGCTCCCCTCTGATCAAGAGCTGTGAATCATCTAAAATAATGTGCTTTTTTCCCCCGATTGCTTTAATAACTTTTTTTTTTAAAAAAGCAGGTAAATCATACGTAAATAAACCTCTCTGAAGAGAGCTCAGGTGTCTTGCTCTAGATGAGAGAGATTCTTACACCTATTTGTTTGTTCCATTCACATTTGTGCAGAAGTAGATCCTGTCACTGAGGAAGAATTTGCCCAGAATTTCCATGCTACAACATACTAGGGTGTTTAAAGAAAACGATTGGTGTTTATATAATACATCTGGTAGGGTCGTTTGAGGAGAAATATTTTGAGCCAGTATGGTCAAACATCCTAGTGAAGACTGATGTGGCTGGGCTCAGGCTGGCAGGTGGTGGCAGGAGGACCTGATGGGGAACCCACCCTCTGTGTGCCCAGCCTCTAATGTTTGCAGCCCCAAACGTTTAGGGCCATTTTTGCTGGCAGTGTTCTTGGATCAGGTGCTGAGGAACGTAGGGTTTGATTTGGGATAGTCTTTCACTGCCTTGTGTTTTTTCTTCAGCTTTGTCTGTGATGGCTGCCTAAAGAAAACAGGGCGAACCAGGAAAGAGAACAAATTTTCTGCTAAAAGTAAGTGTTTCATATGTGCACTAGAGATCTGTTAAGAATGGGGAAGAACTGACTTTTATGTTCATTTTGCATTTATTTTGATACTTCGTTTGAATCAAGTAAGAAGTGGGAGGATGGTTTTGATAAGATAGAGTGCTGCGATGCTGGGAATACTTGTGTTCATAGATGTTTTCAGTCTAGTAGCCTGTTGTAAAGGGCCAGTGTTCTGCTTTACAGTTCTACTAATACGAGATACTTGGCTTTTTATCTTGACTGCAGTATTAATAGCATTGGGAAATAGTTACTGTGTGATTGCAGTCTAACTGAAGGGTATGCTAACATGTTCTAGTCACTATGACCAGTGCTGCTCTTAAAAGATTTGCTGAAGACAAAGGTTGCATCAGCTGGTGACAAATACCTGCATGGATGCTTCCTCTTGATTAAGGCAGCTGTTTGGAAAGCATTATAGAAGGAAATCTGTGCCATCATCCATCTACTCTATAGACAAGTCTCTCAAAAGCTTTTTCTTAACTTGATGCACCTCTTTAAAACAGTGCATAGTTGCTTTTCYGCTCCAAAAAAGCTTCAAGATTTAAACATGACTTAAACGTAAGGATTAAATACATAGTTGCTGAGTGACTGGTTTTAAGGTGCTGCTTTGACAAAAAGAAAGGAGGGGTATCCAAGGCTGCCTTGAGATTTAGGGGATGGATTGATGGGCTTAAGACACAGAAGTGTTCACTTTAACTGTTGCTGTGAACCAGTCAGTGGATGGATGGTTTCAGCACCTTTGTCTCTTTCCAAAATATAAACTTTCTGGATTCACAGAGAATACTAGAGGAGTACAAAGGTTCTTCTGCAGTTTTCCCTCTGTTTATGTTTCTAGCCACCTATTTGCACTGCATATGCAACATAGTATGCCGATGCTTTGTGGAAAGGTATCCAATTAAATAATTGATAACTTGGTGGATTTGTGGCCCTACTAGAAGCTGTAGGCAATGAGAAAAGTCCTATAGTTTTAAGTTCCATTTTAACTTTAGGTCTTATAACTTTTTGCTTGTCTGAATTTTGTTTGAAAGGAGAATCTTCAACAAAATTTACAGATACAGTAATGTATTTAGTAGTTTTTTTATCAAAAATATGATTGTTTTGTTTTTGAAAGGAAAGACACTGACTTGGCTACAGCCTGACGTTCTAGGAAGAATATTCTTCCAAATGCAAGAATTAAGTCTGGAAGCAGTGTTTGTAATCCAATTTTTTGAGTAATTAAAAGCTTCTCTTCAGGAGGAGCCTTAATTACGGCTGGCTGCATTAGAAAACACTTCAGATGTTCAGATGAGATTACTCAAATGTTAAATGAGAACTGTTCAGTTTGTATGTATTCAGTATACAATGTATGTATTGTTTCTGTAGGGTTACCTGCTACAAGACTTGGTACCTTCTTGGAGAACAGAGTCAATGATTTCCTAAGACGACAGAATCACCCTGARGCAGGCGAGGTTACGGTTAGGGTGGTACACGCCTCTGACAAAACTGTGGAAGTAAAACCAGGAATGAAGGCAAGGTATGTCTTTTCAATTGCTCATTTTCCTTTCTTCTAAGCAAAAAGCTACTTGAATTTTCTTAGGTGCTGCTACTTTGAGAAAGTAAAGACTGTGTTGTGACCTCATCATGGACCAGCTTGTGGAAAACATACTACAGCCACAGAATGTTACATTGCTGTGATCAGTGTCACTTTTTTTTCCAAAGTAAAAAGTTGGTGTTGCCTTGTATTTGAGCAGTCTTGAAGGATTTTTTTATTATTTTTTTAAAAATTACCCTTGCAGTAGCCCTCATTCATCGTTGTTGCCTTAATTTACTGCCTGGTGTTCTCTAATATGTGAACATGTCTGATATTCCCCTTCATTTTCTGTACTCTGCAGGTTTGTAGACAGTGGAGAGATGGCCGARTCTTTCCCGTATCGAACAAAAGCACTTTTTGCCTTTGAAGAGATTGATGGCGTAGACTTGTGCTTCTTTGGGATGCACGTGCAGGAGTACGGCTCAGATTGTCCCCCACCCAATCAGAGGTGAGGAGCTGCACGAAAACCCATCTTATTTGTAGTACTGCCTCAGTTGGGCGAACTTTCTGAAGTTCTTTGCAGCTCTTGAGAGCTGTATATCAAAAAACTTGTAATTTCTCTTGGTTCTAGTAGGACACAGGTGTCTGTAATGTTTTATTGTTGTTGTTCATTTGTTTGTTTTATATTCAAGAATCACTGGTTACTGCAGAGGCAGACATGTTGCTTCCGTTCAAATACTAACCTAATCTTGAAGTCAACAGGATGGTTGACTCTATCTCCAGAGAGATGAGGCTGGATTATTAAAAAAAAAAAAAAGGTTGAGCTTCTAGAAGTAAACTAGGGCCAGGGTCTTTGAAGACTGGTATTGCATTGGATGCTTCAAATAAATAAACAGTGTATTAGTATATAATGTATAAAATAATGCATATGTTTTTCTTTTCAGGCGAGTGTATATATCTTACCTTGACAGTGTTCACTTCTTCCGCCCTAAATGCTTGAGGACTGCTGTCTATCATGAAATACTAATTGGATACCTAGAATATGTAAAGAAATTAGGGTAAGTGTATTTTTTTATGTGTTTTTTTTCTGTGCAACATGTATGATAAATAAATCCTAGTGCAAATGAAGTTACTGAGTCCTCTAGTGCAAAAGAAAGTATTCAAGAAGAAAGTATTAGGGGCTTTATTTAGAGTAGTTGCTCAGGAAAGACAAACTTGCTGGTATTATCTTCAATACCTAGGTGAGATGGTGTCTTCCTTAGTACATTGAAGGCAAGTGTCAGACATCTTGTTCTGCCTTTTTCTTAGTTACATATTTTTAATCTGGAAGACTGTAAAATTGCTGCCTAGTGCTCAGGCATCAGTTTACTTGTTGCTGTTCTGTGCTAATGGGTGACATCAGGTTCTCATTTGGGAAAAACAATATTGGTCACGCGATACCGTCTCTCCCTTCCAGGCAGGAGGAATGACAACTGGCTGCAGTTCCAGGGCTTGGACAGGGTTGTACAGATGTGTTTCTCAACAGGGCAAGGATGTTTTTCTCTCTGACTTGAATTCTGGTTATTCCTCACACTCTTTTCAAAAGTTCTTTCAAAATTGAGGAAGTAGTAGGGAGCTTTGTGGCATTTTCACTCTGCAGCTGCCACTATTTGGATTATCTTTTGCCTTGGCAGTACTTAGGGTTGTGTACCCAATAGCATGGGTGAACTTTATTCTCAAATCTAATCATGAAATTTTTAAAGCTTATTTTTTCAAGCTAAAAAGAAAAAAAAAAGCTTGTGATTAGTTGAAATTTATGTTCAGGTAAATGTGTTCTTAAAATGTCACTAGCCATTGAATGAGTACACTGTCTCAAGGAAAAAGAATTCAGCATTTTCCTCTTAAAAAATGTAGTCTCTGTCTTTCTCTTACGTAATTATTAGCCGATTGTCAGATGGTARGAATGTATGTCAGGCTTTGATTTTTACCTCTGGACTGGAGAACTGACACACTCTACATTAATTGCTCTGCATGAAGCTCTGAATCTCCAAAAGTTAGTGAAAACACACGAATGCTGTATGCGTGGATGAAKACAAARGGAGCATTAGAATTTAAATCGTGGAGAGCTGTACTTATTGTCATGTGGTAACACCAGCCAATTTTGTGCTGGCTCCACCTTGTGGCAGAGGCCAGCCAGCTTCATTAAGGGTTCATTAAGGGAGCTCACGTGTGCTGCTGTTTGACCCGTGCTAGGTATACTACTGGACACATCTGGGCCTGCCCACCTAGCGAAGGAGATGACTACATCTTCCACTGCCATCCTCCCGACCAAAAGATACCCAAGCCCAAGCGACTGCAAGAGTGGTACAAAAAGATGCTGGACAAATCCGTGTCGGAGCGCATCGTCCACGATTACAAGGTTTGTTAAGCGGGTGCTTGGACTTGGAGACAGGAGCAGGTTGACTAGTCTGCTGTTGTTCTTTGCATTAGGCACTGTGTGTTTGGTTCTTAGGGAACGTGTGAATGTAAAGTGAGGTGAGCAGTAGAATTTAGAGCTAAAACATATTGTATTTAAAGCATACGCTTCTGAAATACTTTTAGYAAGAGCCTTGAAATGGTGATACACCTTCTACAAGAAAATTACATTCTATAGAAATTCTAGGTAAGAGAAAAATCTTAACAGCATAAATACACATGTTGGAATCTTTGGTTTTCCTTTTTTTTGTTTTTTTGTTTTTTTTTAAGTAGCAGGGTTAGGCTGTTGAGCGCAGTTAAAAACTTGTACAGTTTTCAAAATTATCAGGACTTCAGCTTGTGTGGACAGTAGATTGATTATACTGTCCCATCTGGGAAATACGCATGTTGGAGTCTACAGTGATGGCTAAATTATTTCGTTGGAGTGGGAATGTTTGAAATGTCACTGCAAACTAGGAGCTGTCTGTAACGGGTGCAGCACTAAATCTGCTCTTGATGCACTCAGATTGGATTGTAAAGTCAAGTTGTCTCTTGTGCTTAATGTTCCTATGCCATTTTTTAAAACTTGTTTAAAAGGTTGCTTCAACATGCTTAATTWGTAATAATCTTAATGAAGTGTTTTGGTCCTTTCAGGATATATTTAAGCAGGCAACAGAAGATCGTCTGACCAGTGCAAAAGAGCTGCCATACTTTGAAGGAGATTTCTGGCCTAATGTTTTGGAGGAGAGTATTAAGGAACTAGAGCAAGAGGAGGAGGAACGGAAGAGGGAAGAAAACACTAGCAACGAAAGCACAGACGTAAGAACATGTCTGCTGTTTCGAATGTTAAAAAGTGTGACTACCTGTGGCTAATTGAASGAAGTGCCCAGGCTCTTTGTTTAACTGTCTCTTTCACCTTGATGCAAAATAAATACCAGTTTAACATTTATATTATAGCTGTTTAAAATATATATATATATGTGTGTGTGCGTATGTATATGTGTGTATATATATACATCTAGATATAGATACAATCACCAAGCTAATTCTTATTAGCAGTGATTGAGGATGTGACCCACAAAATATGATTAAGAATTGATACTGGGCTTGTTAAACTAGAGAAATTCCTTGCTGGTGTCTTGTGCATGCTTTCTGRGGAGTGGTCAAAAGTTGTGCTTTTCACACCCAATAATATAAACAAAAAGAAAATACATTTGATTCAGGAGTAAATAGGAAAATTTGCAGTCTCTGTGTTTGATAACCTTTGGTCTTCTGAGCTTTTGTGAAAAAGATTAATCTAGAATGAGGTTGGGTTTTGCTTCCTGTACATCTTGTTAGTTAGTCCTGTTTAACACTGCTATTTTGTCAACTTTTTACGTGTTAGAATTATTTTCCTAGGGATTGCTACATTAAAAAAAAAAAAAAAAAAGTTAATTTCATAGTTAAATAGTTAGAGAGCTACAAATGTTTGTAGTTCTGTGCCTTGCTTTGCAATACCTTTGGCAGTAGCCATCTATGGCTTTTAAATGATCTTAAGTATAACTCTCTCAACTCTCTCAAATTTGCAGTTTAACTGATGTTTTACTTAGGAAGGGCCTGTTTAAAGTTTTTTTTTTTTTATTTGGCATAGCTACAATTTTCCATCTCAATGTACCAGAAACCAGTCTTGAAGCATCTGACTTAGTTGCATGTGTGAGATCTGTCATCACTTAGGTTGGTTCTTCACAGCAGCTTACCCAAGATCCATGAAGGGAAGAGCTTGCTGCATATTGCTGTTTAACCATGACTGTTAAAAATAAACATTTAATACTTTACCCAGTGCCTCACCTCTCAAAAATGAGACGGTAACAACCTGTATTCTTAAATGAAGTGATGAATAGTGATTCACGTTTGCTGGAAACTTCCATCCCATCAAAATAATTTTAGCTTAGGAAAAAGCTTATGTGGATGAGAATTGCTTTGGATCTTGATCATCATATGGTCTAGAGCCTCAAGGGACCCCTCTATGTAGTACTGAGGGGAATAAATGTTCATCGGTGATTGATTATAATAGAAGTGAAGTGGACCTATTTTAACTGTTGCACCTTTTTTTCTGCTGTGTCTTGCATACTAAAACTTGCAGTAGTAATGGCTTTTGGACTCAGGACAGCTTCATGTAATGTTCAGTGCAGTCTGTAAAAAGAAAATGTCAGACAATGGGTAGATGGCTGTAATGTTAAAAGGTCTAGGTGAATTAAGTTCTTTTTTAAAAAAAAAAACCTCTGGTTAATGGGTTAGTGCAGAATCAGTTAGGCTTTTCAGTTATTTTTAGTTTGAATTGCATTGAATTGCATTTGTTGAAGCCCTTTGGGATTAGCTGAGATGTTCTTTGGTACTGAACTGCAGTAGGCGAACAGGTTTTGGTAAATATTGTTTATCATTCTTTATCCTTTACACCTGCTGAGCATTTATGCTTTAATATTTTTAGAATAATATAATGCTCATCTTGTTATCTCCTGGAGTGATTCCACTTGAATTAARTTAGTCTTTTGGGGGACGGTGGTAATTGTCTTCAGAGTAAATCACTGTGAAAGGTGTTTAGTCCTTCAATTATAGGAGGCATGAAAGTGGGGGCTCAGATACCTGACATAATTTTCAAAGTCTTTTTTTTAAACTTCAATAGGTGAGCAAGGGAGACAGTAAAAATGCCAAAAAGAAGAACAATAAGAAGACAAGTAAGAACAAGAGCAGCTTGAGTCGTGGCAATAAGAAGAAGCCTGGCATGCCCAATGTATCCAATGATCTGTCCCAAAAGCTATATGCCACTATGGAAAAGCACAAAGAGGTAAGAACTGACAGAGTGAGAAATATATATTCCTAAGTAGACAGAGGTACAACGTCCCGCAGTGAATTCATGTGCTTTAAGCTCCTCAGCCAGACCTGTACAGAGTGGCACACGTGACAAGGGTGCCAGCAAGTCTGGGCTTTCTGTGCTGCRAGGGCATTGGAGTCAATACAATTGTGCCTGTACAGAGCTGCCAAGCAGTGAAGCTGTCATGGCAAGCTAGACTGTTCAGTCTAGTGCTCTTTATCAAACAGTCCTGAAAAGGTGAACCTGTAATGCATCCAGAGGACTGGAATTTTTCAGTTCTTGCAAGTATACACAGTGGTCCCCAAATGACCACTCCTGGCTACGCATCATTCACGTGTTGGTTAGTCCTGAAATTGTGTATTCTGCAAAATGAAGTTTGACCAAAACCTCTYGATGAGTGCTGGCATTAACTGTGTTGACTTTACTTTGCAGGTCTTCTTTGTAATCCGTCTCATTGCTGGCCCTGCAGCCAATTCCCTGCCTCCCATTGTTGAGCCTGACCCGCTCATCCCATGCGACCTGATGGACGGGCGCGATGCTTTCCTGACCCTTGCTAGAGACAAACACCTGGAGTTCTCCTCCCTACGAAGGGCACAGTGGTCAACCATGTGCATGCTCGTGGAACTGCATACCCAGAGCCAGGACCGCTTCGTTTACACCTGCAACGAGTGCAAGCATCATGTGGAGACCAGGTGGCACTGCACTGTGTGTGAGGTATGCCCMGTCAGCCTGCTCTTGCTCATGTCCCTTCGTTTCTGTGCCCAGAGTGCTTGTTACCTGAAATACTTCCGTAGTATAACTGATAAAGAATATGTGTACAACTCACTGCCCACCAGTTCAGAAAGAAAGGAATAGAAAAAAATCAAGTAACAGGCAGTGCCAGCAGTCATCAGGGTGGCTTGTGTCTCCTTCTTCCAAGCTGTGGGGAACTGAGACTGCAGAATTCCCTGTGCTGAAGTTCATTAAGGTGCTGCTGCTTATGCAGTTGGGGAGGATTTGTGGGATGTTTTTCTTCTCCTCCTGAAGAGCAATACCTCGTTTCTTCTTGCACAGCAGTCAGAAATGGGGAGCTATGGTACTTCTGTAACTGGACCTCTCCTCTGGTTTATTGGCATGGAGGTTTTGCCATGCTATGGATCAGATTCCTATCTAAAGCAAATACACTTGGTCCTTTTTTTTTTTTCTTTCTCTCTTTTTTATTACTGATAAATACTTGGATAATTCTCCCAGTCACTCTGTAGTTGCAAGGAACATTCTTGACTCCAGAAGTGTTTTGATACCTGTGTATTTAAAGGTCAAGCCGGTGGTCTGGTCAATGCTCTGTCTTCCCAAACTGGAGTCATCTTGAACCTGACTTATACCTTACATTTTCAGCCTGCTAGTAGTAGCAAATAACTCTGCATCACATTGAGTTCTGAAAGACCCTGATTAGAATATGATGGTCCCATTTCTTCATATATATATCAGAAAATAAACTCTAAAATTTCTGAAGTCTTAAGGAATCCCAAGGTCACGCATCTTTTCCTTAAAATCAGACATGCAACTAATATCTGTGMTAAATCTTGTGCTTTCACTGAATGTACGTGGTGTTGAGGTTGTTCTTTTGGGACACTGCTGCTTATCAGCTCACCTGAAAACAGAACAAGTAGCTTGCATTTTCCTTTCATCTTTGAAAATTGGGATCTCTCCTGCCGTTTTTACCTCCTCCTATTATAGAAGCAGTAGATGGACAGCTGTTCCTTGTCTTTTTTTTTCTTCCTTCCCTATCTGGAAAGAAAGTGAAATTCTGGGCCAGCTGAATCATGTGTGACCTATTAGCTCCATGCAGACTTGTTTTTCGAGCTGTATATATTTGTGTAATTTCAGCCTTCCTTCCCACACGCACATTCACTGTCTCTRTAATTCAGATTTACTCCTTCTCCACTAGCCTGCAAAGCTTAATTTTTCCCTCTTGTAAACAATTTGTGTGGGAGCACCTGGGTGTAATCTGAGGTGATGTGACACCATTTACGTATTTATTCAATGAGGAGTTACAAGCGGAGCGCTGACTTGTTTCTCCGCCCTCTTTCCAGGATTACGACCTGTGTATCACCTGCTATAACACTAAGAACCACGACCACAAGATGGAGAAGCTGGGCCTCGGGCTGGACGACGAGAGCAACAACCAGCAGACGGCTACCACGCAGAGCCCCGGCGACTCGCGCCGCCTGAGCATTCAGCGCTGCATCCAGTCCCTGGTGCACGCCTGCCAGTGCCGCAACGCCAACTGCTCGCTGCCCTCTTGTCAGAAGATGAAGCGGGTCGTGCAGCACACCAAGGGCTGCAAGCGCAAGACCAACGGCGGGTGCCCCATCTGCAAGCAGCTCATTGCCCTTTGCTGCTACCACGCGAAGCACTGCCAGGAGAACAAGTGCCCCGTGCCCTTCTGCCTCAACATCAAACACAAGCTCCGCCAGCAGCAGCTCCAGCACCGCCTGCAGCAGGCACAGATGCTGCGCAGGCGCATGGCGAGCATGCAGCGCACCGGCGTGGTGGGCCAGCAGCAGGGCTTGCCCTCACCCACGCCGGCCACGCCGACCACCCCCACGGGCCAGCAGCCCACGACGCCGCAGACGCCGCAGCCGCAGCCCCCGCCTCAGCCGGTGCCGCCGCCGCAGCCCGCGCCTCCCAACAACATGGCGCCCTACGCCATGCAGAGGACTCAGCCCCCCGGCGCCGTGTCCCAGGGAAAGGCAGGCGGCCAGGTGACTCCACCGACGCCGCCCCAGCCGCCTCAGCCGCCCGTTCAGGGCCCTCCTCCGGCGGCAGTGGAGATGGCCATGCAGATCCAGCGGGCAGCAGAGACCCAGCGACAGATGGCACAGGTGCAGATTTTCCAGAGGCCCATCCAGCACCAGATGCCCCAGATGCCGCCAATGGGAATGAACCCCCCGCAGATAGCGAGAGGCCCCGGCGGTCACATAGATCAAGGAATGGGGCCCGCAGGCATGCAGCAGCAGCCGCCGTGGGTGCAAGGAGGGCTGCCCCAACCGCAGCAGCTGCAGCCGGGAATGCAGCGGCCGTCCATGATGTCGGTGGCGCAGCCGGGGCAGCCCATGAACATGGCGCCGCAGCCGGGGATGGGTCAGGTGCCCGGCGCGGCCCAGCCCAAGCAGCCCCCTCTGCCCCAGGCGGCCTTACAGAACCTCCTGCGGACTCTCAGGTCTCCCAGCTCGCCCATGCAGCAGCAGCAGGTGCTTAACATCCTTCACTCCAACCCCCAGCTGCTGGCGGCGTTCATCAAGCAGCGAGCGGCCAAGTACGCGGGCTCGCAGAACGCCCAGGGGATGCCGGCGCAGGGCGGCATGGCGCAGGGGCAGCCGGGCCTGCAGGCGCAGCAGGCCATGCAGGGGCAGCAGGGAGGGGTGCACGCCAACGCCGCCATGCAGAACATGAGCCCCATGCAGGCGGGCGTGCAGAGGCCCAGCCTGCCGCCGCAGCAGCCGCCGCAGCAGCCGCCGCAGGCCATGGCTGCCATGAACCCGCAGGCGCAGCAGATGAACATGAACCACTCGGGGATGGCGCCGCAGTTCCGAGACCTGCTCATGAGGCGGCACCAGATGATGGAGCAGCAGCGCCACCAGCAGCAGCAGCAGCAGCAGCAAGGCGCGGGCCCGGCGCTGGGGCCCGCCATGGCCAACCACAACCAGTTCCAGCAGCCCCAGGGCGTGGGCTACCCGCAGCAGCAGCAGCAGCAGCAGCAGCGCATGCAGCACCACATGCAGCAGCTGCAGCAAGGCGGCATGGGACAGATGGGCCAGCTCCCGCAGGCCATGAGCGCGGAGGCGGGAGCCAGCCTGCAGCAGGCCTTCCAGCAGCGGCTGCTTCAGCAGCAGATGGGCTCCCCGGCGCAGCCCAACCCCATGAGCCCCCAGCAGCACATGCTGCCCGGGCAGGCGCAGTCCCCGCACCTGCAGGGCCAGCAGCTCCCCGCCGCGCTCAGCAACCAGGTGCGCTCCCCGCAGCCCGTCCCCTCGCCACGGCCCCAGTCGCAGCCCCCCCACTCGAGCCCCTCGCCCCGGATGCAGCCGCAGCCTTCTCCGCACCACGTCTCCCCGCAGACCAGCTCCCCGCACCCGGGCCTGGTCGCTGCCCAGGCGAACGCCATGGATCAAGGGCACTTTGCCAGCCCGGACCAGAGCGCCATGCTCTCCCAGCTCGCCAGCAACCCCGGCATGGCGGCCCTCCATGGTACAAGCGCCACGGAACTGGGGCTCAGCTCCGACAACTCAGACTTGAATTCAAACCTTTCACAGAGTACACTAGACATACACTAGACACGTTGTAGCATTTTGGGAGCAAAAAAAAAARRAAAAAAAGAAAAAAAAACTTATTTTCTCAAGACTTTTTGTACTGAAGACAAATTTTTTTGAATCTTTCTTAGCTAAACCAACATTTTTCCCTGGAACACATCTGAACTCTGCAGTAGTAGTTTGTGGTTTTAAAAGCAAACCAACGATGAACCTGAGGGACAGTAGAGTACAAAGAATATATTTTTGTTATGGCTGGAATCATAACCAGTCCTTTTTCTTTTTTTTTTTTTTTTTTTTTTTGTTTTTTTTTTTTTTTCCTCGCGTGTGTGCGTTGGAGAGGTCGGGGAACGAGGGCAGTCCTTGGGCCGTTCACCAAAGGACACCCTGCTCGTGCCTCCCGATAGTTTTATTTTTGTTTTTCTTTTTTTTTTTTTTTGTTTTTTTTTAAATTAATGAAAATATGTAATATTGATAGTTATTATTTACTGAGGCAGAAGGTAAACATTTTCCCTATTCTGGTTTTTCTTCATGTCACTGCAAAAAAAAAAAAAAAAGGAAAAAAGAAAAAAAAACAACCTACAGGAGAACATTTTCTTAAAGCCGGAGGACAAAAGGGGTTAATGTTGCTTTAAAAATACATTACATATATAAATATATATATATTAAAGTAAATACCAATCTTTTCCTCTATGGTTGGAAATATGTCAATTCTTTGAAAAATGTAAAAATATTAAATAACTCAGCCCCCTCCTGAAGTCTACTTTTGTCCTCCAAGAATTTTCTATACAAGAGTCTGAGCTTAAAAAAACTTCAAGTATTAAAATAATTTGTACATGTAGAGAGAAGACAACATTTTTGCAAATAACAGGGGCAGCTGCCAAATGGATGTAGTATATATATTGTGGTTTCTGTTTTCTTGAAAGAATTTTTTTCGTTATTTTTACATCTAACAGGAAAAAAATAAAAAAGAGGGTAAGAAACAATTCCGAGGGGATGATTTTAACCTGCGAAAAAGTCCCTGGGGTTTCTTCTTTATGCTTGCTTTCTCTCCCRTGCCCCTTTTCCACCCTCTTCCACTTTCTGTAAAACTTGAAAATAGAAAGCAAAAAACCCTCAAATGTTGTAAATCATGCAATTAAAGTTGATTACTTATAAATATGAACTTTCGATCACTGTATAGACTGTTAAAAATTGATTTCTTATTACCTATTGTTAAATAAACTGTGTGAGACAGACAGCCTGGTTTTAATGTTTCCCTTCTCTCCCCCATGTGTTGCTTGTGCTCAAAATGGAGGCGGCAGTTGCGGACCTTAGACTGCTGTGTTTGCTACTGAGCCATTGGAGAGCTATTTAATGCATATGATTGTTTAAAAATGCAAATATATAAGAAGGGGAGTGGAGTAATAGTTTTGTGAGCGGATACTTTGGTACCACTCGGTGTCTGTTCCCGGCACGTCTCTTGCCAGAGAAATGGGGGCGGCCTCGCCGTTGTTCCCAGGCCTCCTGGAGCAGCTCCTGCTCCACGGGCTGGTTCTGCGTTCTGAAGCGAGCACTGGTGTTTGGTGTGCGATATTAAGAAGCTCCTGTTGCGCTTGGGAGGTGCTGGAAAGCCATCGGCACCCAAGCACGAGCATGTTCCTGAGAGGTGAGCTTGTGGGGACGCGGTGTTGAGGCAGCTCGTGGGGTCCTGCTGGGATGCGACCCGCTTGGCGGGTTCCCTCCCGTGAGGCAGAGGCCGAGGCTAAGCCTGTGGGATGGCATGCGGGTCGCTGTCTCAAAGGCAAACACTAAGTTTGGGAGCTCCTGAACGAGTGCTGCTTGTGTGCGTAGTCGGGCCGGTTGTGTGGGCTGCTACGTGCACATGGAGCTCACAGAATACAGACTGATTGGGGTTGGGAGGGACCTGTGGAGATCACCTAGTCCAACCCCCTGCTCCAGCAGGGACACCCAGGGCACAGGGCGGCCTCCAGGTGGATTTGGAAGATCTCCAGAGAAGGAGACTYCACAGCCTCCCTGGGCAGCCTGTGCCAGGGCGCTGGCACCCTCACAGGAAAGAAGTTAACCTGTCGCCTCAGAGCCTGCCGCCTGTTCTGTGCTCTGGCTAGGCAGGGAATGTGCAGTAGGCTTCCCAAAATACAGTCTCACTGGGGAGGGGGTTGTGTGTGTGTGTGTGTGTGTATGAGGGTAGGCACCTATGAAGTGCCCAGCTTGCTCTGCACGGTAAGTCCCAGGTGTGACCAGAGCACAACATGTATGACCAGCAGCAGTGCTCTGAGCATGAGGATGTTCCCAAATCCCAGAAAACAGCCGAATGGGAGCAAGCTGCCCTCAGGAAATGGCTGGTGTGGGGGACAGGAGAAAAGCTGGCTGGCTGGGTGGTAGCCCTACCCAAGTGCCAAATGTATTGTGAGGTGACTGGGTGTTCAAAGCTGTCCAACCAGAGTACTTGATCCTTAAGTATAAACACAGTTGCRAAAAAAGGATCTCGCACAGCAGTATAAGCTGGGAATAAAAGGTTTATTCATTAGCAAACAGCCCTTAGCAAGATGCAAGGAAGTTCCAGGGAGGCTTAAGGAAGGCAGCCTGGGGCTTCAGCATCCTCCCTTCGTTGGTGCTGGTACTGCTCACCTCCACGTGGCACACACTAACTCCATGCTACGCCTGGAGTTGCTTCCTTGGGCTTGGGAGAGACGGCTGTTGATCTGCTCAGCAGGGGAATGGAAAGCAAAAAGCTTCATGTTGATGTCAGGGCAGCAGTTTGGCAGAGTTCTTYGTGTCAAACGGGAGTTCGTCGCCCCATTCCTCTTCCTTCTACCCCACCCAAACAAGGGCTAGTTTCACCTTCAGCCCTGGAGGTTCTCTGGCCTTGTTAAGTTGCTGTGGATGATCATTAGTTGTGGATTTGCATGGGGTTCCCTATCCCCTGCTGCTCCTTTCCCAAATTTCCCTGATTCCGGGGCAGAAGCTGAAGCTGCCAGTTGGGAGAGGGCTGCAGTTAATAGGGAGAGTGGTAGGACTTAGCAGAACAACAAAAATAAAAGCATGTTACCTGCATCAGCACAGTGTGCACCAAGAGGGTAACAGCACCTCTTAGAGGGTGGTTAGCAGGCGGTGGGCTCACTTCCCCCCTATTTGTTACACGCAGACTATGGTTACAAAGAGAAGTAGCCGCATACACAAAGCTGAGAACTTACTGTTGGTCTAGTTTCCCGTCTAATCTAGCTGAATTATTGTTAATATAAAATTTGACTATAAGCATTACTATCGCTATACAATTAAATGATACACACAAACTCTCTAATACAGGAGTATTAGGAGTATTAGAATCTGTTAGGATGTCAGGGGAATAGGTGTCAAACACCTTGCTGAAGCCAAGATAAACAACATTTTTCTGCTCTCTCGTCATCTACTCAGCCTGTTGGTTCGCTGTAGAAAGCTATTAGGTTGGTCAGGCATGATTTCCACTTCATAAATTCAGGCACACTACTACTTCTGATCACCTTCTTGTCCTTAATGTACTTGGACACGGTTTTCAGGAGGATTTGCACTATCACTTTCCCAGGAAATGGGGTCAGGGTGACCAGCTTCTAGTTCCTCAACTCATCCTCTTGGTCCTGTTGAGGACAGGAATGGAATTCGCTGTCTTCCAGGTCCCAGGAGTCTTCCTCCCAGTGCAGTCTTTCCAAGATGATCAGAAATGGCATTCCAGTGACATTGGCCGGCTCCCTTGGCACTCATGAGCGCATCCCCTCAGGGCCAATGGATTTGCTAATGTTTGGTTGGCCTAAGTTCCCTAACCTGATCCAAAGATTCCTCTCTTCAGACCTTCCCACTGCTCTCAGGGTGAATCCTGAAGYCCAATCTTACCAATAAAGACCAGGGCAGAGGAGGCAGCCTGTGCTTTGACCATTTCCCATGTACTTTGTCATGACATCCCCTGCCCTATTCAAAAGTGACTCATTTTCCCTAGTTTTCCTACCAGTACACATGCAGAATCCCTCCTTGTTACTGTTCATGTCCCTCACCAGTTCGAACTACCAATGGACTGTCCTAACCTCTTCCCTGCATGCTCAAACAGTGTCTTTACACTCCTCCTGGGTCACCTGTCCCCACTTCCCTCTCTGTATGCCTCCTTTWCATATTTGAGCTTTGCTTGTTCCCCTCTGCAGGGCTCCTGCCACTTCTGCTTGACTTTCTGCAGGTCAGTGTGGACATTATCGAACCTGGAGGGGCTGATCCTAGAAAACTCACCAGGTATCCGGGACCGCTCTTTTCTCTCCAGGGAATCCCTGAGATTCTTCCAAGCAGTTTCCTCAATGCTCTCCTGAAGTCCAGGGTGGTGATCCTGCATTTTGCTTTGTTCCTTCCTCTCAGGATCCTGAATTCCTCCATCTCGTGGCTACTGCATCTAAACCTGATGCTACTCTTTGCATTCCCAAGCTTTTTCTTTTTTATTTCTTCCTTCCTTTTCCTTTTCCTTTTCCTTTTCCTTTTCCTTTTCCTTTTCCTTTTCCTTTTCCTTTTCCTTTTCCTTTTCCTTTTCCTTTTCCTTTTCCTTTTCCTTTTCCTTTTCCTTTTCCTTTTCCTTTTCCTTTTCCTTTTCCTTTTTTCTTCCTCTGGGACTACACAGAGAGCATCTCTCTTTGTCAGCTCCTCAATTCCCTGTGTCAGGAAATCACTACCAATGTACCCCTGAAGCCTCCTGGGTTGCTCATGCCCTCCTGTGTATTCCCTTCTGCAAATGTCAGGGTTGTTCAAGTCCCCCATGAGGACAAGGACCTATCTGGCCCATGAGGCTTCCTGGAAGCGCATGAGGCTTCTTCCAGGAGTGGCCTGTGCTCCAGCTGGCGTTGGGGGATTGTGCCCTGCTGCGTGTTACCTCGTTGCTGAGGACGTTGGCCTCSTTCTGCACACCTTTCTGCACAAACTGCTGTGTCCAGGCCTCGGAGCTCCACTCGAGACATCTCCCTTAGCACCTGCTGTCTGTTAGTTATAACAGCATGTGTAACAGTTACTGTTACACCACACAGTTGTGCCTAATCTAAAACATCGCAGGTAGCATTCCCCTGATCATCAGATACCTGTTACAGCTAAAAGGTAGCTCCAGACACACCAAGACACATCCAGGCAAAACCTGCCGCTTGGGAATTGGGTTGTTCACATAAGGCAGAACTTGGAGCCTGTTGCAAGYGCTGGCAGCACCGTGACAAGGCCAGGGGACATGTCACGACAGTTGACAGGCATTCTAGATGCTGGTTCCTTTTCTAATGCTTCTTCTG